TCTAAAACAATGTTTTACTAACTCCTAAGGTTTCCCATTGTGGATTTCTTTGCAGCAGATGGCTCCTATGGAAGAGGACAACAGGTGCCACTGTTCTGCACTGGCGGGAAGATTACTAACATTTCAAGCTTTTAGCAGCACCTGCTCACACAAAACTGTCAAAACAAAAAAGAGATTGTCTAACATTGATGTATGTGATGCTGCTAAGTAAATGGACAGGAAATGTTTGCATGTAAATTGTTTTATATAACAGAATTAAAAGAAATATTTTAGGAATGTTTTAAAAAACATGATGTACCCTGTCCTTACACATTTCATTTGAGTCTTCAGGGTTTGTTCATCCTGCGCGGATAATGCATCTGGAATATCGATATAACAGGGTTGGCTGTGCTGTTTACAATATGAGCCCTTTTCTTATCATGGTAACTGAAGAAGTTTGGGTTAATTAATATTGTTAAATACTCTAATGATAACCAAGTGTTAAAAAGTGGATTTGTTGTACTCTACCAGCTGCAATATCTGTCTATATTGGCTAACAGGTCAATAATTTTCTTGTTCGCAGGAAAGAGCACAACACCAGACGTCATTCAAAGTGGTCACACGAAGTCGTGCTGTTGGAAATGCGCCATAAAGGGGATTTCTTTTTGCTACATTCTGGGTTTTTAACCTGCTTTCTCATCCTCTGACTCTCGGTTATCTTGTTTGATGAATCCTCATGTGTTTCTCTCTTTTTTTTTATCTTATTAGCCCCGGGGTAATTCAGAATTTTTTGTTCATTTGATAGAGGGCAGAGAATCAGCTTTTTCTTCCTCTGGAGGTATCTCTATCCTTCACCTGCTGTCTGTTTTCCTTTTTTTTTTAGCCAGAGGTGGTTTCTGTTTGAAGCGGTTTCCATCTATCATCATGGTTTTTGTCTACTTGTTTAAAAACGGCAGGGGTCCCTCTTCCCAGTTCACTGTATGGCTTTTTATTCCTATCTGACTGTGCTAATGGCTCATATAGGGATGGAAGCCATGCACTGCGCTGGGAGCAAAGCACACTGGGCCACAAACTCGATCTCCACAAGCACAAATGCTCTCAATATTCATTTTCCTCATGTATACTCAAATCAGGCAGCAAATGCACGCACACATTCAGGGGATAGTGAGCATCAAACCTTCTAGAATAATGCACATCAGCTTAAAAAAACAAAATGTTTGCATTTGTTTACATTCCTGCAGGCAGTAATTATGCATGTGTTTGCTAGAATAAACACTAAGAGTGGAAATGCCCCCTCCCCTCTCAAGCCTTGTAGTCCCATCAGGCCCCTGCTGCAGCGAGTCAGTCTGAAGCTGTCGACTGTATCAGCTGACAGACGGTTCTCTGAAGTGAAGCACACACATCTGCCTCAACATCCCAACATGTTTGATCCAGATCACAACAGAGATGGATGGAAGTTACACTGATATGGAACGAGATGGATTGATTCAGAACAGAAATGGAAACTCGCTTTCAGGGGAGTGACGCAAGCTTGTCACCAAAGAATTTATTCTGTTATGCTCTTTTCAAGTTGAAACCCCTTTTTTTTATTCTGCAACCCCTCAGGGATAAAACAGTCTTCCAGGTGGGAGGCAGTAGAACCTCAGGAGAGCTTTGTCGTGAAGATGATTTTAACCAGTATCATTTTTTGCAGTTACCAGGTTACAGCCTGGTGTCTTTCTGAAGGAGACATGGAGTAAAAAGAGACACGTTTGTGAAATCATGATCATTTATCCCACAAAAAATGAAATACATATTAACTATATTATCAAAAACAGTGTTTGGGGTTATATGCATATATGCTCTGAAATGAATCATTGGAAAGAAAAACTGACATGGTGGATCTGCTGTCTCCAGGAAGAATCATAACAAAAAAGAAACTTATATTGAATCTGTCACATCTTTTATTTGAACGATTTAATTCTGACTTTACTGTCCATAAACATATATCCTCACCAACCAGAGGATTCTTACACTTGGCCAACTGTTCATCATCTATTTACACTTTTAAAAACTTAGAAGCATACTGAGCTAAAATCTTTACCAAATGTCAGGTACTTTAATTCTTTTTTTGAAAATGTGATTTTATCTTGAAATATTTGCCCAGGCATAAATACATTTACACACAGAATATGATATGATTTGCATTACAGATTGCTCTAAAGCTCAAAGAAATAAATGTCCAGGTTAATCAGGCAGAGAGCAGTGTCTGTCATATTTGGGGATTGTCTGGATTAAATTATGAAATATCTTCAAGTATTCCTCCAACACTCAAAAATAATAAAAAGGTTACAGATAGAAATTGACTGGTCAGTTTTTTTTTCAGAGCTAGTAGTGATTTCAAGTTTTCATTGATGTCAGAATTTTTTATTATGTTTCTAATAATTTTTATTTCATTTTCATTTTTCTCTCAAGAGCAGCAGTAGAAAGAAAATAGAAAAATCTGTAGACAGGTTTCTTTGGAAGGTGGTAGTTTTGAATGTAACTGAAAATGACTGATTGCTAAAACTATCCAAATTAAGAGCATTTATAATCTTGATTTTTGCTTTGAATATATTACCATAAACTTTCCCTTTAAGACAAACAAAGCATTTTATTTTTCTTGTTATTCTAGAGTTAGATCTGATCTCTAAAGTTGAATGCTGAAATGTTTTTAAGAGATTAGAGCTCTGAATCTGAGGGAAAAAATTCAACAAATTTTAATGCCTTAAAGCATTTGTTCTGTTGTCTGACTTTTGTTCATCTGGTGAGAAAAAGTGCACCACAGCATATGCTATTTGTTGTTATTTTTAGCTTGGCTGATTTAAATTAATAATATTGAGGACAAAAAAATCTGATTTTCAGTATTTGACCTGCAAATCATTGCCCCCCAAAAAAGCTGTCCAGCTCTGATCGTTGAATGAATGATTAGTACAAGTTAAAATTAGAAATCATTACTTCTCACATATAAAACTAAATATTTCTTATAGAATCTGGAGTCTATCAGATCCTATTCAAATAAGCTTTTAATTATTATTTTTTAACTGTTAGTATTGTTTTTCTCAGTAGGTAAATACCTATAAGATAAACCATAAAGCTGACATCAGGTGTTACTTTGCATCTCTGGAGCTGAGCTTATAATTAACTTCTTTATTTAAATGCCTTCAATGTAAAAATTCTCTCGGTCTGCAGAAACCCATCATAAAGCTGTCTCTTTATAGAATTCAATGACTGCTCTCATTATGTCACTGAGGGAAATAAATTGAAGATAACGCTTAAATATCAAGTGAAGGAGGACTCAGTTTAAGCTCTTCAAAGGTCTCCATGCATGGCAAGCTGATCTATTATGTATTATACAGGATCCTCTGAGCAGATATCTATAATTCAGCTTTTCCTTGTCAAAACGAACATTTCAAATATTCTTAAAATGAAGTATGTTGTCAGCATCTACATTTCAGAGATCTCAGATGTCTATAGGACAAAATAGTATTTTTACCCACAATGAACATCATGGATGTCTCAGGATGGATAGTTTTAACTGTTAGTTTCCAACATAAGAAACTAAAATTGGTAAGATCTGTAAACTATTGTCTTTAGTCTCCGAAACAATGCTTTTTCTTTTTTTTTTTTGTGTGAAAATATTAAAAGAGACACAATCTATTTATATAATAGCTAATTAAATTAACTAATCAAACAAACCTGTCAGCTTTAATAATTGATGCAACATTGAACATTTTACATGTATAAAAATACAAGATACATGTATGCTGTATGAATTTTCAGGAAAGCTTTTCTAATACTAAACTAATGAGATGGAAATCATGACATGCAAACATTATTAAAGATATGTCTAAAATGTGATTTCTGTTTGAAAAGTTTCAAAAGTAGACGATCCAAATTTAATGTGAGAAGAACACACTTTTGCATAAATTAAACTGGAAGCCTCAAACACATCAATCGGAATAATGACATATTTTGTTCCAAGAGAATTCATCTTTAAGACAATTGAAATTTTTATTCCGGAAAAGGAGAAAATAATTTTTTGGTGTGTGAAATGTTGATTATGACCTGAAATAAATGTATTATCTGCATTTGGGTAGCAATGGGTTAAGAGGCAGGGGGGCCGCCAGATAGAAATTGTCGGTACAAAACAGAAAAACCAAAAACTTTGACAGAATCACTTGCTTCATGCGTCACATGTCATCTTATTTGTTATATTTGAGCTTGTTTATCAAGCCTTATGAAGATATAATATCAGTGATTATGGAAATACCGCAAAGCTTTTTTTTTTAAATCTCAATATGTTCTACAGCATTCTCTGAGGGAGGGGCCAAGAGTGAACAATAAAGAATTGAAAGGGACAAAATGAAGGTCAAATGAGGAACTCATATTAATATAAATAATAGCAACCAAATAAGCACTTCATCTTAAAGGTTGACAAAAATAAATTCAGATTTCTATTTAATTTAGCTTATTATGTTGCTTGATTTGGCACATTTTGTTTACTGTAATGGTTCTGGATTAAGCAGATCGTTCAGTGCAAGTGTGTGGATAAAATGGTGAGATAAGGAATACTGTGAATACAACATTTTTTTTAATAATATTTTTATGACAAATTAGATTTTAACATGTGCTTATTTCGATTATTATGATCAGTATTTAATTTTGAGTTTTGGTTACTCTTTTCATAGAAAAAAATATATTATTGAGAGAATGTTGTGATTATATACAACAATAGCTTGCCATACACAATTCTCGACTATCTTGTTTCAAACAAGGATCAACGGGGCCTCCTAGTGGTTAAATGAAGTATTACAGCTGTAACAACGAAACTATTTAAAAACGCGTAATATAGATATAAGCAAAAATGCAAGGGTTTATTTAGATCTGTTTACATGGAATAACTGTATTTTAGAAGAGGAGCGGTGTGTTTTATTTTTTTTTTCTTTACATTTATTTTAAGACGCGGGAAAAAAAATGACGACAGCGGAAGTGATGTCAAAACCCAGCCCCCAAAACAAGAACCAGGGTTGAGTTCTGATGTTATGAAAACTCCTCAATGAAATGTTGAGTAACTGTCTGCTTGTTCAGCGTTACATAAGACCATGTGGAGAAGCTAGCCTCAGCTGCTGGACCAGGTGCCCCCATAAGAATCCAGGAAGTGATTTGGACTGAGAAAAGCCTCCAGACAGCATGGCCAAGCGGAGACAGTGTGCAGAGACGAAGGCGAATACAAAGAAGCCAAAGCAGCTGCTAAGTGCTGAAAGCAGAGGATCAAAGACGAGAAGCAAGCAGAAAGATCCAGGTCAGGGATGCAGATCTAGATGGGACTTTATTATTATATTATCTTCATGCTATCCGCTGGTATGGTTTCTGTCTGCAATGTTTCAGCAGAAGATGAGATAAATACGGGTTAGATTTGCTTTTTAAATTACTTTAGGATGAACATTTACATTATTTATTAAAGGAGTAAATATAAAAATCATTTAAAACAATATAGAAACCTCTTATGTTGCTGTGATTGTTTTCATAAATAATTAAAATCTCCTTAAAGGTTGACAATAACCTACAGATTTCTGTGAAATTTAGCTTAATGTGCTGCTTGATTTTGCACGTTTGTTTACTTTCCTGCTGTTGGATGAAGCAGACAGTTCAGTGCAGGTGCATGGCAGATTGGTGAGCATGGTTAGTGGAGTGGATCTGCTGGCCTACATGCACATCTGTGCTGCACTTCATCAAAACAGAATGCAGCACTTTGCATCAATGGGAAACATCAGTGTTTTACTCTTTTTATCCTCCATTATTAAAATTCACAGAAAATTGGCTCTTAAGGTTTAACACCTACAAAAATAGCCAGATGTTCACCCGCTCTATTATTTTAAGGTTTGTCAGGACTATTTTCATCCTTTCTTTCAATTCCCCCCCAAAATATCTAAAGATTGAATGGCACAGATTTGAACTATAATTGCAAGAATGTTTGACTTAAAAAAAATCCTCATAAAAGGTTTGTTCTTGGTTTAGAAAGCGAATCTGCAGAAAAAGAGGAGAAGCTTGAGAGGAAAGTTAAACCTAAATCACGTTTGTCCTCAAAACGTTCAGCCGGGAAAAAGTCATCTTCCACCACCGATGCCAGCGCTGATGGCAAAACCAGTAAGTACTTCCAGTCTCCGCTCAAGGAGGAGGTTAACAGTGAAGATGACTTTGACATGGACACCACTGCACCACCTGTAGCTAAGGTTAAGGAGAGCATCAAGAAGCCAGAGGAAGAAGAAAAACAGGAAGAGGATGATGATGATAGCGAGGATGAAGATGATTGGGAGGAAGTGGAAGGCAAGTGTGTGAAATCAGATTTCTAGTGTCAGCCGATGTCTTCGGTAGAACCAATGTCAGGTGTGTTTTCTGTGTGTGGATCAGAGCTGGATGAGCCGCTGGGTCCAGTTGAACCACCAGAGCCCATCCTGCCTTCTCAGCCCGTAGAGATCGAGATTGAAACCGCAGAAGTCAGGAAGCAGTGAGTAAATATGCTCAGGAAGAGTGAAAATATTTCCATTTTATGAGCTTGGAGTCCAGCTTTTTCTCTCTGTGTTTCTACTAGGAAGAAGAGGAAGGCAGAGTTTGAGACGTACCTCAGACGAATGATGAAGAGGTATAAGAAGGACCTGCTGATAGACACACACAAGGTGAAAACAAGATCTCCATCTTTTCTTCTTTGGTTGGATCAGTGTTTGCTGACCTTCACCGACCTCTGGTTGGTGTTTCAGGTCCACCTCCTGTGCCTTTTAGCCAACGGGATGTTCCGCAACAGGCTGTGCAGCGAGCCGGACCTGCTGGCTGTGGCGCTCTCTCTGCTGCCCCCACATTTCTGTAAAGTGGCCAAAGAACGTATCGACCACAACTACCTCTCTGGGCTCCTCAAATGGTTTGCGAATGTTCCCAATATGTTGACGGACATGGACAGGGACGTCATTAGAAGGAAAAATTCATCTTCTGCCGTCTTTTCCCTTTTAGGTTTAGAGCGACATTCACCCTCAACCCCAGTCTTCCCACAGAGGAGTGTCCAGACCCTCAGGCCCTACTGGAGAGGCGACTGGGAAGCCTCTCAGCCAGAGACCACCAGGAGATGACTCATGTTGGTCTTTTTTAAATCCCTCTCTGGAGGAAGCATTTCACCTCAAGCAAAGGAAGGAATAATAAATTAGAAAAGTAATCACATCTGCATGTGTTTTGTTTTTCCTGCAGCTTTTCCTGCTGTTCCTAAGGTCTCTGCAGCTCTTCTGCCGACTGGTTCTCTCTTTGCACCCAGTTCCTTTCAAGCCTCCACCTGCAAAGGTACAAAAAATCTTTACACTACTTTTACACTGAACTGATAAATAAATAATAAAAGATCAAGGAATGCAGAAAAATCATTATGCTTATTCAAAGGAAATAAATGTGAGCTTTAAGATGAGCTGCTGGAGATAATTATTAATAAAGTCAAAGGCTGGGAACTGTTACTCGTTAATTCAAAGCAGGAGAGAAAACAACAGACCTGTTTTCACTACGCTGTTTTAGAGGTTTTTTTATGTTCAAGCAAATAGGGGCTTTGTTTTCATCCAAACAGATTGATCAGCCACTACCAGGTATGCTGTGCTGCATGTTCCTCTAAACAGTTTAAGCTACTTCTGAGAAAAAAATCTGGAAAGTATAGAACATATGCTTTAAGTTCAAATATTGTTTTGTTTTTTGTTTTTTTTTCTAAAAGCAGAAATAAATCTTTGTGTGATGCATTTTAACCTGTATTATCTACTTTAGTTTAAGGCTTTGTCTTTGTAGCATGTTAGAGAAAAATAATACAGTTCTATGGAGGGATGAGGCGCTCTTATGGAAGCTAAGGTTTACCAGCAGATTTTCACATGTAACAGGAAAAAATAAGATCATATTTTTCATGAGCAGAAATGTTAGCATGGACGTATTCAGCTGTGGTGAAGCTGAATCTCCATTCACGGCTGCTGTTTTATTTACTAGCTTACATTAAGCCTTGCAGCACTACTAGCTGCTAATGGAAGCCAGAAGAGCAGCACTGAATACCATCACCTGCACCTCCCCATGTCCCTTGGCTGGTATTTTAATAGCTGATACTGCATTAGTTCTTAGACACAATCTGTCCATATATTCATTTATATCTGTGTATGAAGGACTTTTAAATGCAATTCAGAATCGGATGCATCAAAAGAAGTTAGACAAATAACTTTTACTCATCTTTGATTATGAAGTAAGTTCATTGTTGAGCTAAGATTAACTGAAACTTCAATGATCCACTGGGTTGTTTATGAGTTTTTTTTATGATTAATATAAGGACTTTTCCACTATTTCTGCAGAAAATGTAGTATCCTTGACATTTTTAAAGGCATAGATTCATTGATGGGTGCTTAAGGGCCACTGTAATAAAGATCCCTGCAGCCCAGAGTTGCGTATTTTCAGTAGTACAGTAGTACAACTCTAAATCTAGATCCAAGTGTGCCAAACTTGTAGGAATCCGCTAAAGCATTTGTGGTGATGAGTTTTCCCTGTTGAGTAGTTGTAGTTCTCTCTTCTTTGCTGAATTTCTTTGCAGTGGAAGGTCCTCCAGCATTTATGACCTTCTTAAGGATAAGCCTGACCATCCTTTAGATTTAAGCCATAACTTCGACTAGGTCATGCTATATATGTTAGTACCGTATCCTTACAGCAGGAAGGTTCTTCATAAGTTTTCCTTCCACCATCCAAAACTGACTGGCACAGGAGATATAACCTGGTATCTACTTATACCGTCCTTCAGAAATTGTCTTTAAATTCATGTTTAATCAGTTTGTTTTTTTTAATATACAAATAAAGCTCATTCTGACACCATTTAATACCCTTTTTTTATTTCTCGTGAAGGTACACACAGGAATTTAACATATGTGTCCAATGTGATTGTAGCGTTAGCAGCATTAGCGGTTTGCAATGTTTCATTAACGATAGCCTTCAGGTCTCTTATGCAATAGATAAAAGGTTCCAGACTGTCTCCAGGCGAGTCCCTGGTTGTTAGATAGAGCTTGAAGTGAGGATAGCAGGTTAGGTAATGTTAGCATCCTGACATCAATGAAGGAATAGGAGCAGAATCATGCTCTGCGATGGCCTGACAACAACAAACATTTAAACAGGAAAAAAAATATAAGATTTCTGGGTGATGTCTCCTTCATTTCCGTGTGAACCCAGCCTCTAACTCAGAGGCCTGTAGAGCTTTAGATGTCGCTCTGTGTTCCCATATGCGATCTACTCAACATATTGTTTATTCACACTATGAGTAATTTAGGTAGACCATCCAACTATAAAGGTTTTCCACTGTTCCATGTTAGCTTCTCACTGAAGTCCTTAAACCCTAAAGATTAGCTGTCACTTCGGTTCTGATCCGTTTTTCAATTTCACAAGATTATGTCATGATGTGTAGCATTTTTTTAAACTTTTACTTTTCTTTATTTCGTAATTCATAATTCTACAAAGCTGGCAACATAATTCGCTGACTAAATTCTGTATTTTTATATTAAAATTGGCTTGACTGAAAACATTAGACAATTTCAATTTAATTTCAATTTAATTTATGTATATAGCGCCAATTCACAACACATGTCATCTCAAGGCACTTTATAATTCAGCATATTATCCAGTCATACAGTCAAATTGATTCAAAGTTTTTCTATCTAAGGAAAACCAGTTGATTGCATAGACTCGTTGACTCAATGACTAAATCAGTAAAGAGAAGCCCTTGAACGGTGGAAATTATGCATTGACTGTAACTATCTTTATTTTCCAGTCCAAAGGGACTAGAGCGTCGAATAGTGCCCCTGAAAGATGCCAGACAAGCCAGGAAAGCTCCAAGACAAACTCTCCTGAGACGAAGGTCTCCCCTGGAACCAAGAGACCGGCTGGAGGTGGGAAGGTCAAAGGAAGCAGCGGAGGCAAGAAAGCAAAGAGGACAGAAATGAAGCAGGAGGAAGAGGAGAGGCCTGTGTTATCTGGAGGGCAGAGACCGAAAAATTCAAAACGCCGCAGCATTGCTTCAAAGGTCAGCTACAAAGAGGAGAGCAACAGCGAGGGGGGTGAGGAAGAGGAGATCAGTGATGCTGAGGAATTTCAGGAAACCAGCGAGGATGACAGCGAAGATTTTGAAACAACGTTTAGACCTGCTAAAAGAAAAACAGGCAATGGAAAGAGCGCCACTAAGAAAACAAAAACCCCAAAGAGAAATAGCAGCGGTGGGAAACGGCAGGTGAAAGAGGAGGACAGTGAGCTGGAGGACGGGGAAGAGGAAAATGAAGACGATGGCGCGAAGAGCGACAGAAGAAAAAGACGGAGCGGGCAGAAGAAAGAAGGACCGGGAGCAGATGAGTGGTTAGAGGTTTACCTGGACAAGACATCTTCATGGGTTTGTGTGGATGTGGAACACGGAGTCGGTGCGCCTCAGCTCTGCTCCCAAAATGCCACCGCGCCACTGACCTACGTGGTGGCGGTGGACGGGGACGGCCGTTTAAAAGACCTGGGAAGGAAGTACGACCCCACCTGGATGACGACGTCCCGGAAAAGGCGGGTGGACGACGAATGGTGGGAGGAAACGCTGGAGCCGTTCATGGGACCAGAGGATGAGAGGGACAAGAAGGAGGAGAAGGAGGTATGATGATATGATTCCACCCAAATAGATCTTTGGGTTTCAGGTTCTGAAATGTTATTAATAAATAATGTAATAATTACCTTTTTTTTATATATATATATTGCATGTTTATAAGCATTTGTTTTTTTTTATCCTTTTGCCTTCCCTCTCAGCTCCAGAAGAAGCTGCTGAACAAACCCCTGCCAATCTCCATAGCAGAGTATAAGAACCACCCTCTGTATGCCCTAAAGAGACACCTGCTGAAGTATGAAGCCCTCTATCCTCCAACAGCCAGTGTTCTGGGTTACTGCAGAGGAGAGCCAGTTTACTCCAGGTCTGTACTGCCGCTGTCCTCATCCATCTGCTGCACAGCTGTACTTGCTCATAAAGGGGATATGAATATAAAAAAATCCTAAAAGAATCCAGATTTCATGAAGGCTTCAGCAGTTTAGACCTTAATAAAATGTTGCTTCAGCTTCTGTTCTATGTTCTTTATTGTTATTTTGCTTTATTTGCATCGAAAAATCACAAGAGATCATTTTTAAACAGGAACTAGCATTTTGATTATGGTTCTAAGTTAAATATTGATTCGAAAGGAACAGTTTCATCTCTATCCACTTGGTGGCGCTGCTCCGCCCTCCATTGTTACTAACCTTTATATCCTTATAGGGATTTTTTTTTATTTACACAGATCACTTCAATAAATCAGCAAATATCTCCCACAATGATAAAGAGGAAAGTCTATTAAGTCATATTTATATATGTTGGATATATTTGAAGAAAGCTTTAGTTTTAAACATTTTGAGAAAATGTAATTAAAAAAGACAAACAAACCACAAACAGAAAATAGCAAAATAATAAAAAATAAAAATAGATTTTTATCAGGGTTTTCATGGGTCATTAAAAATCATTAAGTCATTCAATTATCTTTTTTTTTTTTTTATTAATACCTTAATTTGCATTGAAATGTATTAAATGTGATTATCTTGGCATTTAAAATGCTTTATTAAAAAAAACGTTCATAAAAACAATTTCATGAGATATATCAGATATAACTGCTTCCAAAAACTTTCAGAAAAGAAGCTTGAGGCAGACAGAAAAATGCAAATTTCAACAAAAGTAGCTTGAAAACGAGGAATTCGGGACATGGCTGCAGCCTGTCGATGGTAAAGATGACAAAGAATATATATATATATATATATATATATATATATATATATATATATATATATATATATATATATATATATATATATATATAGGTACTTGTTGATGGCTTTAAACTTATTTGTAAGAGCTTTAAAAAGTATTAAATTACAGTTACTCATTCCTGCATAAACTCTGTTTATTGTTACAAACAGAAGGGGATCTCCCGTTAACTTCATCATCCATTTGTTGTCAATCCAATATCATTCGTCCCGCATTTGAATACCACTTCTCTGCAGAATGATGACATGCAATTTAAATCCAAGATCACACTCCAAACAGGATCAGGTTCCAGATATGCATTAATAGCGACGTGGGAAGTGTATATTCCTTGTAGGGACCAAAGAGAAATTGCAGGACAAACAAGAAAAAAAGTCATACATAAAAGGACATCAGGAAGCAAGGAACTGTAAAACAAAACAAAAAGATTACTAAAAGCTTCTAAAAAAAACTTTAATCCAACCGATCTCAAAGCAAGTTAAAAACAGTGCATACCTGCATAACAAAAGCCACCACTCAAGATCAAACCTTAAGGATCTGGTGTAGCCATATCCAACAAAAAACGACAATATTAAAAAACATTCAATAAAATCTGATTAAAACAAATGCATTGAGCTTACCTGCAACACAGAATAACTGCATGCTTAGGCAACGCTACAATCGGAACCTCAGTGTGGCCCTCTATATAAACACCACAGCAGAACATACTACATAAAAAAACTGTTTTCCTCCAAACTTACCACACTCACCAAACAATGGAAAGCGTGGGCCCAATACACACCTGGTCACACACCCAGGAAATTGACACCCAAGAGACAATACATGCATGTAGCACTCTGCAAACATATGCATGTGACTGGCTTACTGGTAAATTATTACTCACGTTAGTTGACTTTTTTCATTGGCTAAAGCTAGGGAGATATCTAATTGGTGGCAAATCATCCATCCATTATCTGACACACTTTATCCCGAGTGCTGTCGTGAGGGGTGCTGGTGCCTATCTCCAGCAGTCAATGGGCGAGAGGCAGTGTGCACCCTGGACAGGTCGCCATGTTTTTGGACTGTGTGAGGAAGCCGGAGTACCCGGAGAGAACCCACACATCCTCAGGGAGAACATGCAAACTCCATGCAGAAAGACCCCAGGCCAGGAATTGAACCCAGAATCTTTCTGCTGCAAGGCAGCAGTGCTACCCACTGTTCCACTGAGCAGCCCATGGAAAATCAATTCCTATAAAAAAATAAATAAAGTGAGAAAAAATAAACATAAATACAGTGAGGTTTACAGACTAGACAGGAAATGGAAATTTGTGTTTTTCATTAGAAATATATTTTTGAATCTTTTTGAATCTATGAATCTTGTGTTTATTTGAGAATATTGAGACTATTTTAGCTCCATATTAGGATCAGCAGAAACAGCTCAGAAAGAAGCAATGCTTGACACTGTCATAACCTGGAAACTCCTTAAACATCCCTGTCTACAGTAGAGTTAGTGGTTTTTTTATTGCAATGGATTGAGGTCTTGCTTTGAATTTGAAGCTTATCTCATGAATGCTTTTCCGGGGGAGAAAGGTTTTATCAGGCACCTTAAGCATGGCAGTGGAAGTATCATGCAGTGGGGCTGTCATGCTTCCATCGTTATGGGTATATTACATATTTTAACTTCACATCAAATCACCAGCTAGATGTTTTCAACTTGGATAAAGCAGCGCAATAAAACTAAAATGTGGATGTGCTTTGATAGTAGATGAAACAGGCTAGCATTATCTTCTGGAATAGCCATCTACAAATATTTCTAAAAGGTGGGTCCTTTCTAGAAAACAAAGTTATTGACTCCATTATTTCTGCTAGGAAGAGTGTTAAAATATAGGGTCAGAATGCTAAAAGATTTTACCAATGGAAATTATGTCATGGTAAAAATTAAGTGTTGTTTATAAAACAATTGAATCAGTTTGGTTTAAAATAATTTATAACCTAAAAAGATTAATAATACTCGTCCAAATTGTTTGTTTTTTGTGTTAATGACTGGATGTAACCTTCTGAGCTTCATCAGACAGATGTTGAAATTGTCATGAGATGATTTTGTTCCTACATGTCAGTGAAATGTGTTACTAATATTGTTGGTCAATGAGGAGTAAAGTTTAAAGGAATGGGACAAAAGTTTATATATGAATTGATTGATATTTTTTTCTTTTCTTTGATAGAGACTGTGTGCACACCCTCCACTCCAGAGAAACATGGCTGAAGGAAGCTAGAACTGTTCGACTCGGAGAGGAGCCGTATAAGGTGACCCCTAACTTTGAGGAGCCCTGAAAATGAAACATGCTCCTACGTTTGTGTTTTGAATATGTCTAATCAATGCCATAATCCAGATAGTTTCACTTCACTATATTATTCTCTCCTTATCAGATGGTGAAGGGCTTCTCGAACCGTTCCAGAAAGGCCAGGATGATGTCTGAGATGAAGGATGAGAACGACCTCCCTCTGTTTGGAGAATGGCAGACTGAAGAATACCAGCCGCCCATAGCTGTGGATGGGAAGGTCGGTGCATTGTTCTGGTAAACATCTGCAAATCGATTCATCTGTTGATTATTTTTTCGATTAATCGTCAGATAGCCAAAGATTCCTTAAAGGAGACTTTTTACGAAATTAAACCAGGACAAATTTTAGATACATTTTTTTATTAATTAATTCTTTTAAATCTTGGTATAATTTCTGCTCTAAGTGAGTTTCTCTGTCAGCTAAAAGCATGTTTTAGGGTCTCAATACTCCAGTTAAAGGTTAATTATTTTCAATAATTGATTTATCAAGATTAATCCGATTATTTGTTTCAGTCCTAGTTTGCACGATACAAAATAAAGAGACACTGCAATTAAAATCTGCCAGAAGAAAGCCAATATTGTGTCATAAGGCATAGAAACACAATAGGAGTCCTTTAGAGCATATCTATACAAAGTTATTCAACCAAAATTGCCAAAGGAATCCTCCATAAAGAAACAGGGCAGATGATAAGAAGCACACCATTCCCATTCTGAGGCACGGAAGTGGAGGACTGGTGGTCTGGAGGTGTGAGATCTACAAAGATGCAGAGAATTTGGTTGAAATAAATGAAACAAGTTTTGAGAAAATAGTGCATGAAAATTTGCTGTCATCTCATGAAAGATGGGCCCAGAAGAACAGGAATTTTTTTCCATCTAAGAGCTAAAAAAAAGCCTCATTCATAGCAACTTGAAGCTGTTAATATGGGGCCAATACACTGTATAAAGAACCAGAGATAAACCTTTAATTATGGAAAGTTTATGGTTACGAAATAGCAAGCATAGTTGTTATATAACAGATGTCTTCTCCTGACCCCTAACCATGTCCAATTAAAACTTTTTTTCTATTATTATTTATACTTTTTCAAAAGCATTCTAAATACCAGAAATTCTGCCAAGAGATGTCTACTTGTTTGCTCAGTTTAACTCTTAAAAGGGTCTGATTTTCTACTCTATAAAGGTCAATACTAGAGTGAAGCATTCAACCTATCAGCATAATCCTCTCTTGTTTCCTGTCTGTCCTGTTCAGGTCCCTCGTAATGATTACGGTAACGTATACCTCTTTAAAGCCTGCATGATCCCAGTGGGCTGCGTTCACCTCAGGCTACCCAACCTGCACCGCGTGGCCAGGAAGTTGAACCTGGATGCCGCCCCCGCTGTCACAGGCTTCGACTACCATGGAGGATACTCCCACGCTGTGTAAGGGTTCAAAAGGAGCAGATGCTTTAATGTCACCTCTCACTTGTTATAAAGTAGATGTAAAGATTTGTTTATTGTGTTTTCTTTGCCATGTATTTGATCATTTTTTAACTAAATACGTTTTCTGTGCATTTTAGGACTGATGGTTACATTGTGTGCGAAGAGGATGAGGAGGTTCTCCGAGCCGCCTGGGTGGAAGAGCAGGAGATCCAGAGACAGAAAGAAAAAGAGGTGATTATCGTGTTGCCGTTTGTCATTATCACTGAGTTACAGTGACCAGACGTCCCCGATTTCTGGAGACAGGTGGTCCAAAACGGGGACTGTTCCCAGAAATGTCCCCGATTTTACCATTTTATGAATGAGGTGGAAAATGTTGCCTGTAGGCTGACTTAGGGCTGGGCGATATAGAAAAAAAGCTTATCGATAAAAAAAAATGCATATTGATCGATATCGATAATTATTGAAAAGATTTAAAACCATATTTTATGTGCAGCTAAATGATTTAATTTTAATAAAAAACACAAACACAGACTTCAAATTAAATCTTTATTTAACCAACTTTTTTAACCATAACAGAATTGTTTTAAAGAAAAATAACTTAAGAGACCTGAGTTATGTTATTAAATACTGACAAAGAATAAACTAAAGTGACCAGAAAAGTGACCAAAATAAATATAACAAATAAATAAATGCTCCCCCACCGCCGCCCCCGTTTCCTGCTTTAACCTGAGTTATTACTTTGAAGTTTCTGGCCCCTCAGCATTTTTATCTCAATTGTTAGAACAACGTGGGAAACTGCCCAGAACTGAAAATATATATATATTTCCCGAAGATTCCTCGGAGGAGAGCCGCGCCGGGGCCTACACAGCTCGTACTCCTGCGGGTGTGAGCGGCTGAGATGATAAAAAAAAAAAAAGTTGGTTGTGTTATCAGACTTCGTTTTCACTGGTTCCCGACACATTTTCCAGATGACTGTGGTTTGTTTTTGGTCCGACTTGCCATGACCGAAATACTGCCAGACTGCCGAACTACAAAAACCCTTCTTTGAAACAATTTCCTCCGCCTCTCCTTGCTGCGACATCTTCATGTGCTCTGTGTTGTGGTTTGAGAGGGCGGCGCTTGGTGACGGCATGCCTGGGTCCGCGATTGTGATTGGTTGGGAGGAAGCAGTGACTAGCATAAACCTACATGCTAGGCTACAATGAGAAGGAAGGAAAACTGCATTTCTTTTTTATCGAACTTTTATCGACCCTCTTTTTTTCTATTGCACCACATGTCTATCGATCGATATATATCGTTATTGAATTATCGCCCAGCCCTAGACTGACTTCAGAGTGTGTGAGCATGCTGCGCACAGAAACAGCTGTTAGCTAGCTGAGTGGCAGCTGTTAACCTATAAAACAGACGAAGAAGAAGCGGTAGTTCTTTATCACAATCGGTCTCAGCTGCCCTGTGTTATAGATGTTGGAGATCAGCCTGTTTTTTGAGTGTAGTCCTGTTTCTCTGACTGTGACTGGCTGGATGTGCTCTCTTCATCCTCTGACATGGGAGCTGGCTCGGAGCTCGTCTGACTGGCTGTGTGTTTCCTGGACGGGGTCGCCTTTTACAGTCGCTTTTTCTATGTCTGGTTCTGTCTCCTTGAACCCCAGTCGGCCTCGGCAGATGGCCGCTCACACTGAGCCTGGTTCTGCTGGAGGTTTCTTCCTGTTAAAAGGGAGTTTTTCCTCTCCACTGTCGCTACAAGCATGCTTAGTGCGAGGGATTGCATCCGAGTCAATGAGTCGATGCAATCAACTGGTTTTCCATAGATAGAAAACTTTGAATCAAATTGACTGTATGATCTGGTTGAATTGTAAAGTGCCTTGAGATGACGTGTTGTGAATTGGCGCTATAGAAATAAACTAAATTGAAACTGAATTGTTATGGTGAGTGTGTTAATCGCTTCATTTGATTAGGATTGGGCGGAAAATTGTTATAAATGTTTTGTTTATACCGAGGTCAATAAAAAGGGCTTTGATGTGTTTTGTTGAACTAAAGATGAGGACCGGAAATGTAACATAAACCAACCTAATCAACAAAATGTAAGACAGACCATTGGCTGCAGCTGATATGAGGAAATAGACGCAGATAAGATTAAACAGAATGATTGAAAACTCCTTGTAAGGCGCTAATCTGGTAGTGTCAATAAGGATCGCCTAAAAATGTTTTTAGAACTGATTGGATATCTTTAGTTTATATCATCAGGTAGTTTGTTACTTTAGGTGGAGTTATTGGCTGTATTTTGTTTTTACACTTGATTTTTGTTGTTTAAATATTTATAAATACGGTACATAAAAATGGATGAAGGTGTTACCCTGCAACCTCGGATGGCTGAGGGTAAAGTGTGCGATGATCTTCCCTCAGCGTGTGGTGCTGTGGCATGAGAAAGACGAAACACACATGTTGAGCTTCTTTACCTTCAACCGGAAGATTTATCCTTCTTGTGTGTTCCAAACATTTCATGTACAACATACTTCAGTAGAGGACCGTTAGCTTCATTACATAAGAAATGGCTGTAATAAACCTTTAAACCAAACAATCAACTTTTAACATACTCCATTTAGCATTATGAACTATGTCAAATGACAAAATTATTTACATCTGGCTTTTCTATCTAAACCATATGAACTTTGTAGTTAGTGCTTTAAATCCAATCTCCCCTTTTGCATTTTACTATCAAAGTAGAAATTTATATTAAATGGTTTTTAACTATTTTAATAGCTTTTACCATTTTTAATCAGCATAAATAAAATGTATTTTAACATTTAAGCATCTTAGCTTTTAACAATAATATTTTACATCTCACATAAACTCCACTCTCAATATAAAACTGAAAAAGACACAATATTCCTTTAATGTGCTTCGCCCTTTAGCTTCACATGTTCTAAATATATGGCTTATCTGGTTTTTGTAACAAACCTATAAAGAAGCATTAAATAAAATCAAGAAACTGAAATTATTTCCTTTGAGTGTGGAAAACACAGGTTCAAATGAACTCCAGTCCTTCAGCTAGCTCTAGCATACGTGAAGTTAGCTAACATTGGCTCTAATTAGTATTCTGAACACCCCTCTACAAAGGCATCACTCTGTTTCCTATTTTAATTTTCATTACATGTATTTATTTTCATCTACGAGCTGGAAATGTCCAGCTATTAGAATGAAGAAATCTTGTCACCTTATTCTACAAAGTCAAAAAAAAACTATCCATTCTTCCATATGAATAAATACTATACTTTCACTACCTACGTTTATGTTAATAAAAAAGAACTGACAGTATTTTTAGGTTGAATTAGAAATATTAAATCACTCAAAAATATGTTTTAACTTGAAATTTCTTTCTTCTGCCTCCCAGAAAAAAGAAAAGAGAGCGATCGCCAGTTGGACCCTCCTAGTGAAGGGTCTCCTGATCAGAGAGAGGCTCAAGCGGCGCTACAACCAGAAGAACCAGGGCCTGGGGAGCCTTGGTGCTGAAGGGGACGCCGAAGGCTTCTCCTCTGATGAGGAGGGCGTTGAAGTGGAACCCTCTGGAGGTAAAACAGCCACTGAGGCTCTGGCGTTGTCCTGGCCCCAAAACAGACAAGCAGAGGAGGACGGAAGTTCAGGAAAACCAAAGAGGAGGACGACGAAGCGAGAGAAGAAGGGCCAAGACAAACATTTATTTCCCTTTGAGAAAGTTTAATAATAGAAACCAACTGTTTTTCCATATATAGGAAACAAAACTGGAATTCAAGTTTGCCGTCAACAAAGCACTAAACTGAACATTTTTACGATCGTCAACAAAATCTAAAGTTTCTCAGGAGCAGATGCCACAAATTTAAAATGATTTTTAGAAAGACTGAACGGAAAGAGGAGGCAAGAAAAGAGGAAGGTGGCTTTCAGCTGTGAGGCTGTTTGTACTTATCTGTTCATTTTACAGTAATCTTGTGTTTAAAGCCAGCAGAAATGATCTCATAAAAAAAAAAAAGATTGGAATTTGATAGGAATGTTGGAAAGAAAACATAAAACTCTCCATGCAATGAGTGCAAGCATTAGAGGTCTACTGGATTGTAATGCTTAGGGGAAGCTGTTCTACACTAAACCATACCATCCCCTGTAAAAACCAGATAATCCTGGTTCCTCTGCAGACCTTGTCTCTCACAGATCCAGTTTTAACTTTTTAATAACTGCTCGGTAGATATCAACAAGTTTCAACAAACGTATATTTTCTGGCAGCTGTTTCTTGATTGATGTTGACCAATACACACCTATCCAGTGAAGAGAACTAGGCCTCCATCATATATATCAGAGTAAAACAGGAGGGAATTGACTGCTTAGCTATGGGACTTACAAAATTATAAAACTATGGCAAATGATTCATTTATTTCAGCTTTTTATGCAATTTTCCCAAAATGGGTAGAAGGCTTATTTGTATATTAATATGCTGAATGTACATTACAGTAACTGAACTGAATTGAATCAGAAAGCATTTAGAATGTGTCGGATGTCCGCATCGTTTCACTGTAAATTATTTCAAATTAAAAAAGAAAAGTCTTCAAGAAGAGCATGTCAATTCAAATTTAAGCTGAATCTAAAGACCAGCTGTGTTTTTTCAACCGCTGATTGTCACAGTCGTCCATTTGAGCTGAAGACAGGAAACTGTAGAGTTGGTTTAGGACTGTTAGCTGATTTTATTTGACAGGAAAGAAGTTGATGATCGAATCACACAATGAGGCCTAAATTTCAATGTTTCGTTTCCCTTTGAAGATGCTTTTCTTGCTTCGGTGCTACATTCATTAAGGTATTTTTTTTTTATGTCCATACTGATTTATTTTCTTTTCACATGTCTCTATGTCTTGTATCACTATCTCACAACTTTAATGTTTGCTCTGTTTGTTCACAGGTGATTGTAGCTGTAATAGAAATAGTACTCCGATTTTCTATCAAAAATATTTTTGTAAAAAAAAAATGTTTAATATGATTAAAATGAAAAAACAAAAACAAATGCATGTTGACATTCTTCTCTGTTCCACCTTTTAATAATCAGTTATTACATAAAAATAAAAACTAAGCAACATTTTTTTATACAAAAAACACCATGATGATGATTATGGTTACCCATACTTTCATTCTCTTGAGAGGCAGCCATCTTTCACTGAATGTGTAGAAAACTTAAACCATCCTTTATTTTTAGTTGCATCACTTTAATAAATAACTAAAAAAGCATTAGTAAGTTGAAATCAAGATTTTCTGAGTAATTTACTGATGAAAAGAGACAAATAGGCAAATAATGAATATATATAATTATCTGAATACGCATTCCATGAATACATGTGGAAGAGGTATATTGGAGCCCTTTGTTTATTGTTCTCTCACTGATTTAAAACCTTTCTTGATGAGGTTACCATGGAGTTAGAAGGTAGATCCCAGGTTTTCCTTCATTATTAAGAAAGGCTATTGGTGCACAGAGAACTGACAGTATTCTCTGGTGAGCTTTACATCTGACTCATGTATCAAAAATAAATTCATAATGCAACTTAAAAATGTGAACCGTTCAATCTGCACTTTATGATTTAAAACGACTGTGTTTTCCAAACTGTTTCCCACTACTCTGTTTCGCTAACATTTTATATAGAGTTAAAACCACAGGAATTCTATGTGCTTAAGCAACAGTGTGAAGTAGTCAGAGATGGCAAAAGTACTCACTTTCCGTACTTGAGTAAAAGTACAGATACTTGTGTTAAAAAATACTCTGGTAAAAGTGGAAGTACTGATTAAACTTCTTTACTCAAGTAAAAGTAACAAAGTACAGGCTTGTAAATTTACTTCAAGTATAAAAGTAAAAGTAGAAACCACTTTTTTCATGCCGTTGCCTACATTTTAAATGGATGTCTGCCAATAGGACTAGATCTCCGTTGTGTTCATTTTCAATCATCTCGTCGTCCATGCTACTATGCTAACGCCACCGCCACCAAGCTGCAATGATTTGCCGCCAATGAATACCGCCGAATCTGTCGATTCATCTTGTAGTGGTGCGTCAAATGCAACGTAGATTCCCATCCAATTAGATTGAATTTGGTATTGATGACGTGAAAAATAATAACGGTAACTCCATTGAAATGATTCAAAACTAAAGTAACGAGCCAATTTTTTAAAATGTAAGGAGTAGAAAGTACAGATATTTGTGTAAAAATGTAAGGAGTAGAAGTAAAAAGTCGCCATAAAAATAAGTAGTAAAGTAAAGTAAAGTAAAAATATTAGAAAAATCTACTTGAGTACAGTAACGAAGTATTTGTACTTCGTTACTTCCCATCTCTGGAAGTAGTGCATGCATCTAAAGACGAAGCAAAATAAAGTCACTTTTTTTTTAGTTTGCAAACTAAGATCTTGAAGATGTGATGTGTACATTAGTATGCAGCCTCTTGAGCTGTAATACCTCTCAAGAGAATCTATTGCAACTATCTGTTTTCAGGGTCTAAGATGTTTTATTGGCCTTCCTGCATTGGACATCTAACTGAACACATCCTTGTGGTAAAACATCATATTGCCTGCATTGCGACGTGGCGCAGGGACAGGGAATGTGGTCAGAGTTAATGGGAGGATGGATGAAGCAAATTAAGGAGAGTACTGAGAGGAAATAGAGACTGCAGCAGGCTGGAGAATGACAGAAGATAACTGTCTAAGCAGGAGAACACTATATATCTAAAAGTCACGCAGCAGAACATAACCATGAGAAGATTAAACGCAAAGACATCACCATCCCATGTTACTGGAGTCTAAAAACTCAAAAAGATTTTCTCCAAACACAGAATCCCAGTACATTTCAAACCAAACAAGACCTTTAGACAGAGACTAGTGCATCTTAAAAACAAAACCCCCAGACCTAATATAAGTGGAGTGGTTTATGCAGTTCAATGCAGTGAGAAAAGCTTTGATCTTTATATTGGAGAAACCAAACAACCTCTCCAAAGACGCATGGCTCAGCACAGAAGAGCGACCTCCTAGGGACAAGACTGCTGTCCACCTGCACCTTAAGGACAGAGGACATTCATTTGAGGACCAGAATGTTCACATTTTAGACAAGGAGGATAAATGGTTTGAAAGCAGTGTGAAGGAAGCAATTTACGTTAAGAGAGAAAAACCAACCTTAAACAGAGGGGGTGGACTCAGGCTCCAGCTCTCAAAATCCTACAACACAGCAATAGAGTTGATTCCTTCCCGATATCATCTCAATCTTCATCTCCATGCAGGGGACCAAAACATCTCGCCTGGTCAGCCAGGCCAACAGAAACCCTAACGACTCCCTTTTTAGAATCAGTATCGAGTTCTGCAGGCCAACATCAACCTCAACGACTCCCCATTACTAAGGAGTGTACCTGTCTTTTGGCTACTCTATAAGCCTGTAACTTAAACGCTACTGCAGACATTTTGAATTGAGAAAGCCTCCTGGATGGTCCAATGTTTTTTTTTTTTACTTTTTTGGAATAGAAGCATTATGCTGTGTGTAATGCTTTTCCTATTTGGGATGGAGAAAATACTTAGAACAGATGGAACTGCAGGGTGGTCTTTGAAGAAAACCCATCAAAGGCTGGCGTAGGATCTCAAATCCAGCAGGATAGGGACCACTACATCGTGGATTTCACGAAGAACCGGCCTAACCACGCTCCACTGCTCATCAACAGCTCAGCTTCTAAAAGGGGTCAGCAGCACCAAATCCCTGGGGGTGCACATCCCAGACAACCTCACCTGGACTATGAACACCAACTCACTGGTCAAAAGGGCACAGGAGAGCCTGTACTTCCTGCAGAGGATGGGGAGAGCCCACCTGTCCCCACCCATCCTTACTACCTTCTCCAGAAGCACCATAGAGATCGTTCTGACCAGCTGTCTCACTGTGTCGTGTGCAGGCTGCAGTGCCTCAGACTGGAGGAAGGTGAGAAGGGTGGTGAGAACAGCAGAGAAGATCATCGGGGCTTCTCTTTCCTCTATAAAAGATATTTCATTACAGCGCTGCGTGTCCCTGGCACTTAGCATTATCATTGATCCCTCACACCCCCACTCCCTGCTGCCCTCTGGGAAGAGGCTTCAAAGCATTCCATGCAGGTCCAGCAGATTTAATTCAGACAGTTTCTTCCCCACTGCCATTAGACTGCTGAATGTTGAAAAATCTCTAAATCATGTCACAGATTGAATTAAAATGATAAAACCAAACCAAAGCACTGCATGATTGCACCATATATATTTAGTGCCCTGAACTTCTATATCAATGTGTTTTTTTGCATTGTTTTTTTCCTCACATACTGTTTACATTTGATCACTGCTGCACTTTAAGAAATGGAAATGTAATGAGAGCTTAACAAAACGAAATTTCGCTTTGTATAAACTCTGTATATGCAAAATGGCAATAAAAGTTGTCTAAGTCTGTCTAATTTGAACAGAGGGCTGTTTTTTTGTGTGCTATATGCTATACACAAAACACTGGCAAATGATAGCTAAGGCATCAAATCAACAGCCTGCCTTTTTAAACTTTTCTGTGAAAACTTGTGCTATTAAAACCATAACTGAATAAATAAACAGAAAAATTGTATATATTTATTGAAAATAAAATGTAAACTGCTGCAGCGTTAAGTGCATTAAATCTACCTCCTCAGCAACTCTTGACCAATTACCTCTTCATTTACCTCTGGCACTCAACCCTCTTATTCTCATTTGCAACAAAGATGCACATTAGATGATAATGCATGAAAAATGTAGCACTAACTCCTCTAGTGCCTCCAGTGAGTTATCTTATCTAACTGGAGAGATGCATTAATGTTCACAGTTTCACTTCAACCTATGGAATTTGTGAATTGTACAGTAGGCCTGATTTGGATCTTTCAGATGAGTGATTTATGGGCCATTAGTAGAGCATGAGTATACTTAATAGCATGACATTAGGGCGGTAGGCACTCAGTATGCAACACAATCAATGTACACGCAAAAGCATCTCACATGCTCTGGGGTTTTATAATGTACTTGTTTTTGTTGATGAAACGGCTGTCAGATGTGCAACACAGAGCGTGCTCTTAAAGTAGCAGCAAGAATCCTTCTTCAGTCTTCCATTTGTAAACCAACATGAAATCATCATTAAATAATCATTACATTTTAATATCTTTTAATACAAGCAATTTGGTAAATAAATAATATAAATAAATATATATATATAAAAAAAAAAAAAAGTCTTATTCCCTTTTTTTTTTTTTTAGATCTTTTTCTCTTGCACTCATTTCACAATGAATTTATTTGTTTTATTGCCATCATTGAAAATACGTCAGTGGCAGGGACTCCAAATGCCAATTTGAGTTAATGAGATAAAAAAAAAAAAAACCTTCTCCAATATATACAAATCTGTTGTTTACATCAGACATTATGTACTATATCACAGAAACAAGGAATGCTATAAAAAGTTATTGAAAGATTTATGTATAATTTGCCTTATATAATATTCCAAATATTTTTTGGATTATTTTTTTTATTATAACTATGGAATTAATTTATTAAATTAATAACACATTTTTAAAAAAGACACTTTGATCAATATTTTTAATCTAACGTGTCTCTCTGATTTGTTATCATGAATCTAATTCAGAGATGGCAATATATGTCTGTTTTTCTGTTTCTATCTCACTTTTTATTTGTTTATTTGTTGCTTATTACTGGACTGAAATCCTCTATGTTTATTTCTTCTCGAGTTTTAGGAATTAAAGTTTAGGCTTTAGGCTTCTTTGTTTTTATTGGATTAGAATAAAATGAGGAGATCCTACAGGGGGGAGCAAAGGCGGAAGTGACGTAATTGATAAGCACCTCTGCAACCATCCTCCTTCCGCCTTGGAGCCAAGCTAAAGAGTGAAAATCGCTCTATAGGATTTCCCCACACAAAACCAGCTGTCTGCTGTCCCAGCAGGCCGAGCCAGCTCTGCTCTGAGAGGTAACTATCGCCTGGATTTTTGCTTTGGAAACAAACACCGCGACTGTTTAAATGGATGTGTTTACTCCGGAGCTGCACCGGGCCTTGTTTACATCTCAGTCCCCGGAGTAGAGTAGGTGAGAGGCGGAGGGTGAGGGGAATGAGAGCTTGCTACTTCTTCTGCCATTTTTTTTTTTTTTTTAGCTAACATCTTAAATTAAAATTATTGTAAACTTTCGCACGCTTCCTGTTATGTTTCCTCTTTTGTGTAACTCGTCGTGTTTTGGGGTTTTGGCACAGCTTGAAACTGCTGAACAGAACTACAGCATGCTAACCTTGAAGCTAACCCTGCTAACAGCCAGGCAGCCACTCAGGGCTCTTAACTTCACACCCGATATGGGACTGAAAATACCAACCTCTATCCTTTTTTTATTAATTAAATGTTTTAATCGGTTTTTACACTTTACGTTTCCGTTCCGAGCCCACCAATAGAGTTGAGTAAAAGCTGTTATCTAACCTGTTCTGAGTCGCTGTGTTACATTAGCCCAGCGGGATGTGTGTCACCCACTTTGCTGACTATTTTTAACTCGGATCGGACGGAATGTGAACACTAGTCCTTGGCTGGACGGGCACCGGGACCCACTGGCTGCTTTCCCACTTCTTTCCTCGCCAGATTAATATTTGCAAAGTCATATCTCAACTTCGTTGCCAATTGACCTCGTAAATTTTTTTTTTTTTTACACCGTAGTTACACCAATAAAATTACGAACTAAGATATTTCACCTGAGCTTTCTTTTACTGTTCTCTCAAGTATTCTTCAAATAATTAATAATAATAATTGATAGTCGATAGAAAGTGTATTTTATTTTTGTTTTGTTGTTTAAAAAAAAAGCGTACTCTTCCTGATAAATTGGGTCCATCCAAGCTCCTAGCTCAAGTGCATCTGATGTTGGTGAAGCCATTGGTGTTTCTAAATTTAAATAATCTCTTTAAAAGCTCACATGTATGTCTGAGGTCAATGGTTTATTCCCACTGAAAAACACATGATTAATCTCAGGGAAACAAAGATAAAAGATTGTGAAGAGTCTTTGCCGCAGCTATGTAAAAAGACAAAAAAAAAAAGTTTTGATATAAATATTTAGTTGTATTTTATTGTTAGTGCATATTGAAATGAAAAAATAAATTGAATAAACTTTAAAGACTCTCTGCTTTGTTTCGTATCATCTATTTCAGGCTGTTAGAAGTCTTAGAGCAGCGGTGCACAACTCTTACAGGTCTGATTATAGGAAAAAATTATTTAAATTATAAACTATGTAAATAACCTTTCACTAGTAAAACCTGCACTGATGCAAGCATTTGGCTCTTAAATAAGAGGGTTTAGTTATTTGACAGCTATAAAACTTTTATTGTCAGTGGACTGTTTTCCGAATAATTCAGATTTACAAATTAAAGTAATAGTTATAATTAAGACCAACTGCTGTGCATTTTATATGAGAGAGACTCAGAGACAGACATTCAATGACCCCTGGGATTTTAGCAAAAACAGGTTTACGACATGTTTTTTCATGCAGTTCAGGACTCCCTTTATATCTCACACACCTTACACAGAATTTCAAAAAAGAAGAAGTTAGAGTAGTGTTTAGTTTGATAGCGGTAAAGTGACTGTCTGGATCTAATTTTGGTGTTTCGGGACTGGGTTGACTTGCTGCACTCATGACCTGCCCTAATCAGAGTCTGAATGTTTTAATGAGGTATGTGTAAGATAATTAAGTGCTGTTCTTGAATTATACTGATTCAGAATAAGCAGAGTATTTTTTTTTACTTCTGCATATAGAAGCTTTTCAAAGTAATATTTTCACATTTTTCTCCAGCTTCTGATTTTTTTTTATCAGTTTAAAAAAATGTATTAAGTGTGGGTGTGTTAATATGCAATATGAAATATGCAATATATATCATTGTCTTATGTGATATTGTTTAGTAAGATGTTTGTATGTTAATAAGCCTCATAATAAGAAGGGATGCAACCTTTTCCACTTTTCAAATTTACTCTTCTTACCCCCTGCTCTACCTTTTTTCCCTTTCCACCCTCTTCAGATTGTGCTGAAAGCTGTTTTCCAAATGAGTGACGGAGAGTGCGACTTCTTCTGCTTCTTCCGCTGCTGCTGAGTGCGCTCCATCGCGCCTCAGTCAGACAGGAGGGGGGTGGAGCTTCTCTCCACACGGTGACCAAAGTGGAAAGAAGGCAAGAAGAAAAAAGGTGGGGGGGTAGTTTCGGTCTTACCATTCCAGCCATAACTGGACATCTTCAATCCGACAGGTAGGCGACTTGTCTACCTGTCTGGGTGATTGGCACAATCGACTGAATGTCTGTGGACATGAACAGCCAGGCGTCGGACAGCAATGAGGAAGACTTTGGGGTTAACTCTGAGGAAGAGGAGGATGACGACGGAGGAGAGGAAGATGATCAGGGAGATATCGCAGGCTATTATGATGGGGTGGCAAATGACGTTGAGCAACAGGGCGCTGATTCTTTCGACCCGGAGGAGTACCAGTTCACCTGTTTGACGTACAAAGAGAGCCAGCATGTGTTGATAGAGGAAGTGAACAGTGTTGCTGCTGCTCTGAAGGTGAGTTCAGGCTCAGTTAACTACATCATTGTAAAAAAAAAAATCTCCAAAGATATTTTTTTTCAGAGATGGTGCAGAAATTCTAAAAAATAAAAAGTTTTTGTAAAGAAAACACTAATTAAATTACGTTTATCTAGTCTTTCATGTTAACATAAATGGTCATTAGCTGCTGGGATGGCAGGAAGATGGATAATTCAACGCCTCAACCTTCTTTTATTTTACCAACCTGTAGAAATGTAGCATTCTCACCTGCTGGCTCTTAACACAGCAGGAACTAACCTCTGCAAAATCTCCAGAGCCTTTAAAGGAGAAGTCTGGTCAGCAAGGAATGATCAATGGATCATTGTTTACACCTAAAACTAATAATTTTTCTGTGATTTAATGAATTTAGTGATAATTAGTATAAGAATAAAAGCAATAACTTTCGTTGCGATAACTGAGTCCAGGATCGGCCATTTTTACCCAAATATAGTAACACCTCACTCCTGACATCTTCCAGCAGTGATGTCACGATGGGGTAAGCCGAGCACTATTCTCCCCGCTTTACAAGGAAAATCAATGGGAACTACTAAACAATTAATTTCAATTCATGATCCACCACAGATGGGTTGGATTGCTAAATTGATGAGGGGGGATTTGCCATCAAACTTCTGGCCAGAGAAAAAAACTAATAATATGAATCCAAAATTTTGAAGACTTCCTCAACAGCCGATACCGCACCGTGACGTCACAAATCGGTAGTAGTGGCAGTAGACCAACATGGATGTCTCCGATAAAGCACATTCAAATTAAAATTACTCTTAATTAAAAACGCTTAACATTAATTGAACAGTATTTAATAATTTCAGTTTTAAAGTACTTTCAGAAGTTTTAATTCTGAATATGACCGGACTTCTCCTTTAAACAATTAAGCCGTATCCTGATTCAAAGTGTCGCATAAGTTGTAATATATCAAACATTCACAATTGTTGAATTTTTCTTTTATCTCCACTTCTGTTTAAATAATTTGCTTTACTGCAAAAAAAAAAAAAAAGTAATGTATAGCATATTACCCGGCCTCTCAACAAATCTGGGTTAATCTTAAAGACCCCCCCTCCATCAAATCTGCGAATTATTGCACTGCTGGATCAGAAAGGACCGATTATTTGTTGTGGTAGAGCTTAAATCGCTCTGCTGACATTTAAAAACTCTCTTTAGCTGTCTACTGGGTTACTAAAACAACAGACTCCATGTGCACTTCCTAGAAAATGTAGAACCTTCAAGTTTAAGTTCTTAAAAGATTTGTAAAGCTGTATTTTCCACAACAGACCAAAACTGAAAGCTTTATGGGATGAAAGAGCAATGCTGCTGTACTTTCTACAACCTGACTGTTAACAATTTAAAGCCCATGTGAAACCTTGCCAATTTAGACAGCGTATGCCTGATGTCCCAGAATCTCCTGAAACGCTGGGGTACGAAGAGCTTTCTATGCATTTTTTTCAATTTTGGGCGTTTGCATAGCGTATTCATAAAGAGTCCAAAACTTATAACGACAGCCTAACTTATGCATAACGCACAGCAGCATAATACCCATGAAATGTCACAAGCCAGTGTGCTGAGGGGAGCAGCAATGAGCCTGGAGGAGCCCAGCCTGCTTTAAAAGGTGTCTTTGATCGCAGTATTAATCTAGCTGTTGTTTACCACCCAGCAAAAAAATAAATAAAAGAATAAATAAATTAATGAGAAGGAAAAGAAAAAAAGGTTTTGCAGTCACAGCAGATTCAGCATCATGTCTGCTAGGAAGTTTGTTGGCCATGAGCGTGAATGCAGGAAGTATCCATCACACACGCCTTCACGCTCACCCTATGATGGGGATGACGTCTGGAGGAGAACAGACGGTTTTCTCCTGTGAACCTCCTTTTATACTAAAATGCTGCCGATACGCCATTAAACAGTAGCTGTAAGTTAGAAAGGCGTCGAGCTGTCATCTTGAACTTTTGATGCTCAAAATTTCTTGACGTAGTTGCCTTATGTTGACGTGTGGCAGCGTGTTCATAACTTGTACAAAAATGAACCATAACTTATTCAACGTATCCCAGCGTTTTTCCCAGATTAGCCGTACGTCCGGCACATGCTGGCTAAAGGGCTGGTTACACTCCTGCAGCAGTTTGTCGCAGTGAGCATGTTGCAGATATTTTTGATTTAAGCCCAATATTGAGCGTGGTCTGTGCTATGTTATTCCATGCCACATCGCAAGAGGGAGAATCATGAACTAGCTGTGGGTCTAGATACGGCCGAGGCACCGAGGAAGGGACATGAGGGCGAAATAGAGCGGGGATCCAGGTGGAAAAAGGGTCCCAACGTTCTCACGTACCTCGCTCTTCTAGCTGGTCATTCTTAACCAGTCGTTTTCCACAATGGCGGTCATGCAAACAAAACAAGCCAGTAAGGTACCAAACAGGAAATATGAATAGTGTAGAGCGGAGGTAGATTTGACCAATCAGAGGCACTGTCTGTGGTCACCTACAATTTTGGAGAGGTGCACCGTAGTGTCTGCAGAAGGGGTGGGAGCACATTTGTGTTCACCACGACACATAATGCAGACGACCTAGTTTCTGAGCATAAACCAGCCTTAAATCGGCAAGGTGTGACAGGGGTTTAAAGGTTTGTTCCATCGCAGTCTGACTCCTAGACCAGTGTTTTCCAACTCTGGTCCTCAAGGCACACTACCCTGCATGTTTTAGATGTTTACCTGCTTCAACACACCTGATTCAAATAACTGGAGTTCCAAAAGAATTTGTTAATTTGCTATCAATTGATATCAGGTGTGTGACAGTCTGGAAACATCCAAGACATGCAGAGCAGTGTGCCTTGAGGACCAGGGTTGAAAAACCCAGTCCTAGACGATCCTCCAGATGTGCTAGAAAGTAGTTTTGTTTTTAGACAGCTGCTCACCTTTATTTTCTTTCTCTGAATTTATTTAGAATCGGTTTTCTCATACCTAAAAATGGCTAACCCCAAGACTGCTTCTCTCAGTAACAACATAAACACAGCATGTTTACTGTTGGTGAATCTATTGACTCATGTTCCATTCTGCATTGCAGCGCTTTGTTCTCTCACACAAACACAGGTTGCATGCTGGAGTTTGTCTCACGGTTTCCGGTTCGGTATATGTTTATTGTTACACCGAAAAATTAAAAAATTTATAAAAATTATAAAAAATTTATGCAATTAATACAAAAAAATAAAAAAAAATTTATGAATTGTAATTATTTTTAATGAACCACGGAAACCATGGTTCATTTCCGCATGTTTTGCTGCTTTGAATTTAATCATCTTGCGCATGCCCTCTACGGTCTCCAAGGAACGTGGAGCGGACGGGAGCCACAGTGGAGGCTGTAGGCTTTGCTTTGTGCAGGCGGTCTGGAGCGCAGCGCAGCGGGGTGGAGCGCTGACAGAGTATGTGGGATTTCGGGGTTAGCATGACATGTTGGTCATGTTGCTGTTAGCATAAACAAAACGTGTTGCACAATGCTTGCACACTGTTGCACTTTTATCCACAACTTTCTTTCCGCCGTCATCGTAGGTCACTCTAAATGCAAAGTGGTCCCATACAGCAGAACTATAAAGTGCTGCTGGCGCGTCTTCCAACTCCTGTTCTTTCCCACTCGTCATACCCACATAATTCTCCACAGTAACTGATTTTTTTCTGCTTTGCTTCTTCTTCTTCTTGTTTACTACTGGTGGTTGGCTTTGGTCGCAGTACCGCCACCTTCTGCTCTGGAGTGTAAACGCTTCGCCTATGAGAAAAAGGAGCAGCGCATGAACAGAACGCAACACACGCGAACCGAACCGAGACAGTCGAACCGAACGGTTCAGACGGTTTTCATAAATCGTTCCATCCCCAATACCGTAAATAAATATATATATATATATATATACACAAACTTTTTTTTTTTCTTTATATAATTTTGGTATAATTACTGTTCAGTTTGTGTTGCTTTGTCAACTGAAGGCATATTTTGCAATCTCTATACTCCAGTTGCCGACTAATCGATTACTAAAAAAAGTTGATAAATCCAATTAATTGTTTCCGTCCTAATTAAAACCATAATTTGTTTTTTTGTTTTTCTCGCAGGTTTCACCATCGGTAGCAAAACTGATCCTAGTGCATTTCCAGTGGCAGGTTGCACAAATACTGGACGCGTATGTCTTTTATTCATTTATTTTAACTAACTTCTCATTCCAGACTGAATTGTCTTTCTTTCATACCTCCTTCTGTTGGTGATTTATCTGTCATGTATCCTGAGTCACTCAGATTTTCTTCTTATAATTTGTTTCTCATTATCCTGGTTGCTATATTTTATTTCATTACTTGACTTTTCAAGCCTTTTATTTTGTATTATGATTTATATTTAATGGCGATCACTGTTTTTAGCATTTGTGACATTTGAAGTGATAAAAATTGAATATTTTTCCAGCTGAAAGAAACTTTGTAGTGCAGACACAGCTTTTCACACATTAGTCTTTCAAAGTTATGCAATAGCATAAACTAGTTTGTGAGAGCAGTGTTCTGTTCTGTTTAATTTATATTATTTCTTCTCTTTGATTTTCACTTTTATCCTTTCTCTGTCTGTTTTTGATACAGTTGTAAGTCCAATTCTTCTCAGCTTTTGTCAGACGCTCTGGTCCAGCCCAGCAGCACATGCAGAATAGCCACTGTGAGTATGACTTCTTTCTTTTTCGCTGTTGCACTTTTTTTTTTTTGTCTAGTTGTGTGTATAATTTATGGAAAGAATATACTGATTATTCTGTTCAGGTGCTAGATGTATAATTATTATTACGGTTAGTAGAAGTTAAGCTTGGTTTTTGTTTGACTCATCAACTTTCTGCATGAAAATGAGACACTAGGCATGCAGTTAAAACTGTTTTTATGGCATCTATACTTGTTGCTGCTTTTCCCCGATGTACCTTATATTCTGTAAGGCTCTAGGGGGCAGTGTAGAGCACAGGCTGTAGGATTACAACACCACACTACACGTAGAAGTACGAAAGAAAGTTCTTTCCAGCATCTAAATACCTCCTCATATCATCCAAAAATGACAGTAATACATTTCTAAGAGTTGTATACAAACCTGCTGATATAATCCTAGATGTGCAGCAAATTTGGGTTACGCAGACGCCCCCCCGCTTTTCGGGCCGATTCTCCAGTCGTGAGAGAGTTTTTTGAGTTCAGGTCGTGTTTCAGCCTCATTGTGTGTCCTGTGTTGTGTAGTTTACAAGAGGTAGCGAAGGGCGATCGGCCTCTCATGACCACCTCCCGATCAGGAATTGTAAGGTCGAGAGAAGATAGAACATGTTTAAAATTCAATTGGCCAACGTAAGATCGCATCAGAGTGTCGTGCTGCACAGTGTGAGAACATTCATCGTGACCTATGTACTTTTAAACCCTGTGGCTTTGTCGTATAGTTTAAGCAGTAGCTGCGTGCAACGATTGAAAATATCGCACAGTGTATGCCCGGCTTAAAGGGTTTTCAGAATCAATGAAGGACTTAAAGAAGCACATGGATTCTATGGTATTGGAAAACTTGTCTGTAGTTGAGAGAGCAGCATTTACAACCGATAACAGGAAGGCCGATCAGAACAGATTGATGAAATCCACCCTAATCAGCTTTTATGAAATATTGGCATATATTAAGATAAGTATTAGAAGACCACTACCATTACTGCATGTGTTTACCTTTTATTCTGTGTTTCAGGCCCCTCAGTCCCTCCAGTGTGGTGTGTGTCTACAGGTCGTACGGAGGGACTCCCTGCTGGCCCTGCCTTGTCAGCACTCCTTCTGTAAAGCATGCTGGGAGCAGCACTGCACCGTACTCGTCAAAGATGGCATGGGAGTGGGTGAGTGAGAGCGTATCTCTCCTGTCATCCTGCTGGTATTGTTGGGCTGAGTCATTCTGTTTGTGTTTTGGGGTAAAGGTTAGGTCCCTCAGAGTATACAGACACTGTCCAAATGCTCTGCTCGTCATATTCATTGCTGCAGTTTTCTTTTTAATATAGGTTTCTTCATACGTGGTCAAGTAAAATATATAAAAATATTTTAGCTTTTAGTGGAGATTTGTTGAGAACCATCTGGATTTAACTTTACAAGGCAAGCGTGCTGTTGCAGCAGCCTGATGAAAATCAGCGTGTGAAAGTGCTTGTCAGCAAATGAGTGTGTAGGCGTGCACATAGATGGGTATAAAGTTGTGCAATGTTCTCTGTGGTAAACTGCGTACACTTTAGTAATGCACACACACTGTTGTTTTCCTGAAGTTAAAGCCTATTTGTATCGAACATTCTTCTTTTTTGTATGACCTCCCTGATAAATTCAGTGTAACACATTGGTCTAAGCCAGACGATTGTCTGTTTTGGCTGCAACAAGGACAGATTTAAAATGACCATTAACCCCAGTCCATGCTAACGGTAGAAACCAGGTTGTTTTCAAACCAAACAAAACAGCAGGGATCTTCCAGGGTTGCTTATCACGTTTACTAAATAACAAACCATTAAGTTGCAGCTTCTCTACAGCACTATGTCCAATCACTGCCCCCTGGTGCAGATTTACCTAGTTGGTGCTTTTTTTTTAGTTTAACTTAGAGCTGATTATCTTTGCTTTACACCAGGCTAAGTAGTGTTCATAAACATGAACCTTCCTTTTATATTTTGTCACATTATGTGAAATTTTAATGAGTGTTTTGAAGATTGTGATGAAACGGCTAAAAGTAGCAAATTGATGTGTGAAGCAGGGAATTTCTTAAAATATGGCTTTTTTTCTTTTTTTTTTTTTAATCTGTCAGCTAGGGTTGTCACGATACTAAACTTTTCAACTCGATACCGATACTAAGGAAAATATTCGATACTCGATACCATTTTCGATACCACAAGGATAAAAACAAAGACTCCAAAAGTCTACAGAAATATTTTCATTAATAAATAAAATATAATAAATAAACACAATAAAGGTTGTATGCTGTGCATAATATTGAGCAAGCTTGATAAAAAACTTATAAAATTCAAATTAAGTGTTCCTTCCTTGGCTATGCTTTGCACACATAACAATGACACTAGCCAAACCAGTTAAGAAACAAAAATAATTCTCGGCAGCTCCACCACTTACAAAAAAAAAGTCTGAAACTGAAAAGTGCACAGAATTATTCAATCACACAGTGTTCTGAAAGTGCATTGTCCTCTATTCTGCACTTTAGATGAATGACTGCTTAGGTGTCACTGGTGACGGCACTGTATCGATACTTTTAAAAACGAGTATTGTATCCGGATTTAACATTTCAGTATCGATACTTTTTTGAGGTTCGATACTTTTGACAACCCTACTGTCAGCCCAATCTTAATAGTTTATAGAACCACCTTGTCCTGCAGTTACCTCTACAAATCAGATTGTTTTTTCCTTCCACAGCCAACATCTAATGATGTCAGTCAAATTAGAAAGCATCTGTTGCGGATAATTTTTAAGTCTTTTAAAAGATTCTCCTTGGGAATTAGGAGCAGATTTTATTATTCTATTCAAGCTACTGTTCAAACATGCTGCTGTCATTTTGCACATCTCTGATGTTGCTGCTATTTTCAAATATCCATTACTGTAAAAATGTCCATAGCTGGATATTGGTTATTTATTCTCCAGGTGCACAGTTTTGTATTGTTAAAACACTTTACAGTACAGTATTAACTCTTCACTATTATGTTATTCTTATAAATTTTTCTAAGGTCCACATTTGTGTGACCTTTTTTTTCCTATAATCTTTTTGCTGCCGTAAACACCAGAATTTCCACATTTTGGGACAATAAAGGGATATTCTGTTCTGTTATATTCCAGCCTAGCCTAGCCATAATGACTTGTGCCATTGATAGCATACCGGTCTGAAAAGGGGTGGGTAGAGCCTTATTTCACAGGGAAGACCAACAATCAGCAGAAACAGTTTAGAACCAATCGGATTTGACACAAAATTTTATTTTTTATTTTTTTATGCAGCAAGTTGGTGAAACTTAAGAGATAAACAGCTCTTTTTTTGGACTTAATAAGGGGCATTATTAAAACATTTCTCTGTTGCAGTCTTTGCTTTTATGGTTATAGGAAAGCTCTGTTGTTTTATGGGCCGCCTTCCACGCTGTGATTGGTTCGCTCTGATGTAGACAGAGTTTTGAGGCTTACCAGGCTGACTTAAAGCTACAGTGTGTAATAATTACTGGGATATACAGTCAGAAATGTAATATTATACATAACTATGTTATTTATCATCATCTACGAGCTCAGCCTCTTAACCTTAATATTTGCGTTGCCTTAGAATTCGTTATTTATAATTACATAGGAGCGGGTCTCGCAGCCATGGAGGCTGACATCTTTGCGCTACGGCAGCGCAGAGCCAACAAACTAGCGATTGCGAGATCGCCCATTACTCTCGAAAGTAACTACGGCAAGTTGAGAGATATGAACTGAGACGGTACTGAACAATAGATGGCAATATTATGCCTGAGAATACTATCTGTAAAATTATCTATGTAAACAAACCTCCTCACTTGAGAAGGTAGGTGATGCGGACGTCGTGGAAGACATTCTGTCCCGTAACACTCGCCGTACTGTTGGGGGGGAGAAGCGGTGGGGGGGAGATGTTCATGTTGCTGCGGTCTGCAGTCTGGACGTTAGATGTCGCTGAAAATTACACACTGTAGCTTTAAGCCCTGTGTTAATCAGTCTGTCTGGTCAGGTGAGGACAATAATATGCTTTGATCAGAAGCAGTCTAGCTTTTATTTAAAAAGCCTTTTTTTTCCCTTTGGAAGTTTTATTTCAGGATTTCCATCAGTTTAGCTGTTTTCTCATGAAGCCTGACCAGCTTCCCTAAATCCTCCCAGAACAGCTGTATTTGGAGTCATAGGAGGATGTACACAGTTGTACTTCTTACCATCTTCTTAATTTAAAAAATTTAGCTTTAAACTACACAATGACTCTCTGTGGGACAGGGCCTCTAAAGGTGAACCCTTTGTGGAAGCTAGTTTAGCCAGGTATTGGTCCTTTGGCCTCATCAGTGTCAGTCCACTGAACAATAACTACTGGTATCAGTGTGTTGGAATATATGGAAACCGCTGCTGCTTGTGTGGTCTGTGAGAGTTTTGAGTCTTTTAATAAAAATGTTTGTGTTTACAGGTATCTCATGTATGGCTCAGGACTGTTCGCTGCAGATGCCAGAAGACTTTGTCCTCCCACTGCTGCCAGGAGAGGAGCTAAAGGATAAATACAGACGCTACCTCTTCAGAGACTATGTCGAGGTGGGTGATTATCTGTTTGTCTGTCTGCTAAATCTGCTTGCTTGATGCTTTAATAAATTGGAATAGCAATAGATGGTATTAACATTTCACTCAGTTTGTCTACAGATTTATACAACTGATGGCTTCTCATTTGAAATGTTAGAATTACTGGTTCCCTCACTCTTTGATAATTCACTGTCCATTTTATGCCATCAACAAATGATTTCAAACAATTAGATCAACAATTGATCTAAATATTAAGCACAGTATGATAGTATGTTCAAATGGCATTCCTTATGTTCTTGTTCCACAGAGTCACTTCCAATTGCAGTTATGTCCGGGTGCAGACTGTCCCATTGTCATCAAGGTGCAGGAGCCCAGGGCGCGCAGAGTGCAGTGCAGCTGCTGCAGTGAAGTCTTCTGGTACGAAACACAGAGACTTGTTTAAATACTGAGCTTTAACGGAAGATTTCAGTACAAATTGGTCAATCATAAAATTTATAAGAAAAAAAAAAAAAAAAAAAAAAAAGAACTAACATCTAAAAAAACTCCATCTATGTTTTTCTGTGACATTTCTAAATTTCAGCTAAAATGCAACTTTTTTTTGTTCTGTCGTCCAGCTTCAAATGCCGCCAGATGTACCACGCGCCCACAGACTGCGCAACAATTCGTAAATGGCTGACTAAATGTGCCGATGACTCAGAGACTGCAAACTACATCAGCGCACACACTAAAGATGTACGATCGCTGCACACGAAGCCACTTTCTGACTGCTTTTTATTTTCATGCACCAGATGCATACTGTGTACTGGAAAAGATTGCCAATGTATTTCTATATAATGCGACCACTGTTATTATCCGACAAGGTTTGAGATAATAATCCATTTATTTATTTTTTCCCAGTGTCCAAAGTGCAATATCTGCATCGAAAAGAATGGAGGGTGTAATCACATGGTGAGTGAAATCAGAGAAAGTACTACGAAATATGTTTCTGACTCCATCTCATGTCCTAAGCTAACAGCCGTCCTGAACAAGGTTTAATTAAAGTTCAGCTGCAGCTTTTTGGTGTATTAATTTCTCCTCCTTTTGTTTCAGCAATGCTCCAAGTGCAAACACGGTAAGTCTGTCTATTAATTGTATTGCATCATAGATGTATATTCTAGAGTCCATTAATGCTTTTTTTCTGCTCATAGACTTCTGCTGGATGTGTCTTGGAGACTGGAAGACTCATGGCAGTGAATACTATGAGTGCAGCCGATACAAAGAAAACCCTGATATAGTCAACCAGAGCCAACAAGCTCAGGCCAGAGAGGCGCTCAAGAAATACCTCTTCTATTTTGAGAGGGTGAGGTGCTTTCCTTCTTTCTTTTCTATTCTTTAAAGGAGTAGAAGAGACAGCAGACGTATTTATAATGGTTGGCTAATTGACTTGAATCTTTGATTCAAGCAATTCAAGAGTTGCTGTGAGAAAAGGTTTGACTACACTGACGTCACAGCTGGGGATTGCTAGAGGTGACCAGTTGGCACCCAACTGTAAAATTCTCTCGATTTTTATTACTTAGAGCATTTTGTCGCAATTTAGACCAGCCACTTGGAGAAAAAGGATAATCTACCATCACACACGATCAAACTGCTCTAGATGCACTCCTTTCTATTTGATCTTTCAAGCAATTTCAGTAAAGCATTTTATAGCAATCATCCCAAGCATTCCTTCTACTTTTTATCTTAAAGTTTAAGATAGACATGAACATGTTAGCGTGCCCAGAATTGAACCCTTAATTGAATAAAGTTGAAAAGCTTGAGGACCTTATCTACTGTTCAGTTTTTACCCATTGGTTTAGAGAGAGTCGTCTTGTTTTTGATGTATTTCATTCATCTTTGTTTTATTTTTTTTACCTACAAGTGGGAGAATCATAACAAGTCCCTGCAGTTAGAGGCTCAGACGTACCAGAGGATCCAGGAGAAAATCCAGGAGAGGGTAATGAACAATCTGGGAACTTGGATCGACTGGCAGTACCTGCATAATGCTGCAAAGCTACTGGCTAAGGTACAGATCCATTTCCAGACTTGACCTGTGCTCTTATAGTCTAAACATTGCATAATTCTTCTTTCCTTTGTCCTTTTCTACTTTTATATCCTCCCCACTTGTGATTTAGCAATAATAAATGCATGTTAGATGGTAGCTTTGATCGATTAGCAGGAGAGATGGTGTTGTAATCGGGCTGTGAAACTTTCTCTTATATTTGTTTTCGTTTTCCAGTTGAAGTGCTAAAGTTGATCGCACAAAGCTGATTTAGCTGAGTTGGCTCATTTTGAAAGACTGTAATCTAAAATACTTCCCCTCGTTCTATATAGTGTCACTAAAGTGAGTTGTCCTTTGTTTCCAGTGTCGCTACACACTGCAGTACACCTACCCTTATGCCTATTACATGGAGTCTGGACCGCGCAAGAAACTGGTGAGAGACAAAATAATGAAGTGCTCCCCGAATCGTCCAGATTCTTGAAGGATTCATTCAAACTAAAGCTATTAAATTTTTTTCTTTCTTGCCATCACTGTCAATTTTTTCTACCTCTGGCCTCCTTGAAGCTGGTTTTAGTTTCAACTCTCAAATACTAAATTATTAAAGCTTGTTATTCGTGGGAAACAGACCGTTTCTGTTTAAATGACATCTTGTTCTGTCTTCCAGTTTGAATACCAGCAGGCCCAGCTGGAAGCAGAGATAGAAAACCTTTCATGGAAGGTGGAGCGGGCTGACAGCTATGAGAGAGGAGTGGTAGGAGGAGAATGCGAGCTCAGCGCCAGTGATAGAGGGGTAAGAGTGCAAAATAACTTCTTAGAGGGGAGGCATAGATAATAGGATTATCCTATCTATAATCTGGTAGACATCCAGGTGTAGATTGCATCAGTTTTCTGATCCTCTGTGCAAATATTAATTGTCCTGAATTGGGATCTCTTAATCAAACCAACACCCTTTAATGTGACGTGGGTGTAAAATAAACATGATTTGATCTGCCATTGATGAGTGTTTGAATTTAAATGTTATATCCATATCTAAGAGTGACCACGGTCTTTTTATAGTGAATAAAGGATTTCCACATAATTTATAGTTTGGTGTTTTAAAGCTACAGTGTGTAATAATTACAGGGATATACAGTCAGAAATGTAATATATTATACATAACTATGTTATTTATCATCATCTGCGAGCTCAGCCTCTTAACCTTAATATTTGCGTTGCCTTAGAATTCGTTATTTATAATTACATAGGAGCGGGTCTCGCAGCCATGGAGGCAGACATCTTTGCGCTACGGCAGCCCAGAGCCAACAAACTAGCGATTGCGAGATCGCCCATTACGCTCGAAAGTAACTACGGCAAGTTGAGAGAGAAGAACTGAGACGGTACTGAGCAATAGATACTAAATACTACTATAGATACTAATAAATACTATCGGTAAAATTATCTATGTAAACAAACCTCATCACTTGAGAAGGTACCGTATTTTCACGACTATAAGGCGCACTTAAACGTCTTTTTTTTCCCCCTAAAAATGTGCGGTGCGCCCTTTGGTGCGGTGCGCCCTATGTGTGTTGTAACTGCGACTTTTGAGACCACCTCATTGAGGAGATGATGAAAGAGTGGCTGAATGTAAGGAGACCAGGTGTTTTTTTTCCACTCATCACCATTAATATGTAACTCCATGCGTGCCCATCTCACAGCTGATGTGAAAAACATGGGGAAACAAATTAACGCTGTGCTCGCTGTTCAACCGCTCGACATCGGTGTGAACCGGAACCAGCAGGTGCAGCAGAAGCAGCGAGTTTACATGTAAAGTCAACGGTTGACGCGCGTATAGGTGCAGCAAAAGGTCCCGCAGCGCGTTTTGAGCAGCAGGCGCTGCGTCGGGAGCGTTTAAGCATCTGACGCACCGCCAACCCGCTGCTGCTGCTCGAGATGGAAAAATTGAAGTTTTGCTGCTGGACGCGCCGCATCAACCAATCAGAGAAGCTGATCTGGGAGCTGACAGCGAGACAGACACAGCGCTCTGATGACATATGATATTAACGCAAATGAAAAAGGCTGGATGGATGAGGAGATGATAAAAGCGTGGCTGAGGCAGGTGTATGTGAGGAGAACAGGTGTTTTTTTCCACGCATCACCATCGCTGCGTGCCCATCTCACAGCTGATGAGAAAAAAAAGGTGAATCAAATGGATGCTGTGCTCGCCGTTATCCCGGGAGGTCTGACAAAGGAACTTCAACCGCTCGACATCGGTGTGAAGCGGCCGTTCAAAGTAAGGCTGCGAGCGGCGTGGGAGCGATGGATGACCGACAGAGACCACAGGTCCAGGATAAGTGGAAGGCAGCGCCGGGCAAGTTACGCCACTGTTTGCGGATGGATTGTAGATGCTTGGACTAACGTGTCTGCTGGCTCTGTTCTTCAAGCTTTTGCAAAAGCCAGCATTATTTCTGAGGAGCCGCGCTGCACGGAAAGTGACTGACAGCGAAGAAGGGGAAATTGGCATGTCTGATTTAGCGCAGCTGTTTAATTCACAAACAGAGGATGATGACTTTGATGGGTTTGATTAATACTTTGTAATAAATACATGAATAAAGCACAATCATACTCAGTTTTGCTCCCGCTCTATTTTTCTACCTGAAAACTTAATTCAACAGCAGCCTCTGGGCGGGTCTCCTCCTCTTCACCGCGGTGGCTGGCAGGTGTTTTTTCATCTAAATAATCTAAATCTTGCAGCTATATTTGCTGTGATCAGTGGGAATAAAGTAGTTTTAATATGTTTTTAAGTGAGAAAGGCCACCTGAAAACTTAATAATTGCAGTCAGTTCATCCAGATTATCTATTTCTGTCGGACGCGCTCAGACCCCCACATACCAGCGGTGCACCGACAGCAGAAATCCCTTCAACAGCAGCCTCTAGGCTGGGCAGCCTCCAGGTTCACCTCGGCGGCTGGCAGGTGTTTTTCATCTAAATAATTTTAGCTGCAGGCACCAGGATACCGGTAATAAAAGCGAACATATTCCGTCGGCAGGTTTCAGGATTTTAAGTTAATTTAGGAGTGATCACAGCGCACTGTCATCTGCGATGTGTCTGTCTCACAGCCAGCTCCCAGGTTTGATTAATACTTTGTAATAAATACATGAATAAAGCACAGTCATACTCAGTATGACTGTGCTTTGTTCCATAACTTTGTTCCATATACATCTTTTATATTGGTTTAGGACTGTGGTTTTTTTTAGCATCTTGTATTTATTTTGCAGGATTTGGAGAATCAGATGCACATTGCTGAGCAGAGGCGACGCACGCTGCTGAAGGATTTCCACGACACCTGAAGCTCAAATCGCGACTGCAAAGCACCAGCATCCTCCCTCCTTTTTTTTTTCCTACCTTTGCTTCCTACCAGGATCATCTGTTGTTGCAGTCATACTTACCCTGCTTCCCTCAACCTTATCATTTGCTTCCTCTGCTCTGTCTTTCTCTCCTCTTACACCCAGAATGCTGCAGGGTCACAGAATGTCAGTCATGTATGGACCCCCCCTCCTTTCTTTCCCAGCTGTTTGATATATTTGACACAACATCTGTTGTGGTTACACTTGTTTCAACTCATCAGATCTGATCTTGTGGGTCATTTTGTGAGGTTTTGTGTCGATAAATAGAGTAAAATCGCTATGACCAAGCAACTACAGGGATCGTGTTGCCTGCTGGAGATCAGAATCTACCTGAATAGTTTTCCTGTGATGGTGGGATTATTGCTTAAAAGGAGCAGCCTGTACTGTTGTGTCGCGGAGGAATAGGTGGTGGAGTAATCACCTTTTGTTTTCTTTAAGGCAACAATGCAACCACTGGATCTGTATTTTTGGGATATACAGCCTCTTTTTAGGTCTTGCACCTTTGTTAATCCCTTGATTGAAACATTTTAAAGATGGCGATTTTGCCACGTCCTGATTTAAATTCTAAAAGAGCTCCCAAAGACATTATTTAGCCTCACTCAATTTGAGTTTTTTGTTTGGTTGTTTTTTTCTTTTTGTTGTTTTCTTTTTTTTAAATATAGACTGTTCTCAAACCAAATCTAAAAGTAGTGATATTTAAGTCCAATAGAGATTAGGAACATGTTGGGATTTGAAAGGCAGCTACTTTACAATTATGACACCATTTTTTTTTTTTCTTCTTTCAACTTTTACTGTTATTTTGTGTTGCAGCATGACTGAAACAAATGACTTAATAATACAGAATTATCATTCTGATACTGAAATAATGACCTAAATATGTTCACAAATAAAGAAGATGGAATAAGATCTAACCTCCTTTCTTAAAGGTACCTCCACCGATCTAATCTCTTGTCATAATCAAGTACTACAGCTCCTCCCACCGACATTCAGATGGTGTGCACACTCCAACGCCTCATTACAAAAAACATTTGTTTTCCCTCCCATCTCATGCTCTCTTCTTCCTTTACTATCATCCCAGAGTTTCTTTTTTCTTTTTTTTTGCTCCGTTTTCTGTTTTCCTTCAGCTCATGATGCTCACCTCTGAAAAATGGCTGTTGATAGTTAGATCATTTAAAAAAATGGAAAAAAGAAAAAAATAATAAAAAAATGCTGTAATTTTCAATGGTTGTACATTAATACAGAAATAGAGTTACTGAGAGTTTTTAAAACCGGACTGAGTCTCTTGTGTGTTTATTGCAACTTTAGTTCCTCTCTCCACAAAAACCTCTCATATAATCATACTGGCACCTTGTTATGAAATCAGTCTTCGGCCTCATTTAGTTAAGTACTATTATAGACCAAGAAGTATTTTCACAGGTTTTCAGCTCAGCGGTACTAAATAAGTGTTACTCGGATGTTTAGACCACTGTTTCAGTGAGGTCTAGAAGCACAAGATCTATATCCAGCCATTCAGCAAAGATACTGCTGTACATCTTATTTTGGCATTTGACCAATTGGATAAGCCCTTGAATGATATATTACCTACTGTAAATTAAGTTGAAACTGCATCTGCTTATAGTATGAAGAAGTTGATTAATAAAATATTCATATCTTTCAAATCAGAAATAAGGGAAGGCCAAAGAAAGCCTGCTTATGAACTGAACTTTTATTTGTTCTTTGAAGAATTCCCAGAAATCCGTAAGGAAACCGAATCAGAAGTGATTTTGGTGTTTTATATTTATTGGATTTAAACAAACATGGATCTCTAATAGAAATTCAAATGGAAGCTGTAACTTAAGAGGTGCTGTTTGTAAAGTTACACAGTCAAAAAGAGCAAGATTTTTGGTTATTTACAATGTAAGAGAAAAATAAGGGGATTATTTTTTCACTGTCATTCATTCATTTATAAAAATCAAAGTTTAAAACAAAATATTTATCCTTCCATCCATTTTCTAACACGCTTATCCCGAGGGAGGTTGTGAGGGGTGCTGGTGCCTATCTTCTGCAGTCATTGGGTGAGAGGTGGGGTAGACGAAACTAAATATTCAGAGATTTATAATTTTAACTAGATATTTATTTTTTAAAAATTAAATACTTTGTCAAATATTTCGTTTTGAAATAAAGTTTGTTAAATATTAAGTTTGGAGCAAAATATTTAGTGTGCAAATTCAATATTGTGTTAAAATAGTTTGTAAAAAATATTTAATTTGCAAAATAAATGTTTAGTTTTAAGCTAAATTTAGCTTGTTGACAAATTTTTCAACTGACAATTTAAATATTTAGTTTGGAACTTGGATTTTTATAAATGTATGAATCATATAGTGTAAAGAGGAACCCCTTATTTTCCTTTAACAACACGCTAATTAACTAAAAATATTGCTTTTCATTTTTTGGCTATAACTTTACAAATGGAACCCATAGAAATTCCATAAGTCTGTTCGCGAATAGGTTTATTTAAAAAAAAAAAAGTTACAGGTGGAGAACCATATTATTTCTACAGTTTTAAACTCTGATTTACTATTAATTCTATTGGTTTTAATTATTTTCATTTTTTTAAAGAAAAAAAATAAAGGAATGGGTCAACTGGACATGAGGAAATATCAAACAGTTCCTCCGTCTATAATTGCTGATATTGTTGATTTTACTTTATTAAAGAAAGGAAAAAATAAAAACCTGTTAGATCTAATTTCTGTATAAATCTATTTAGACCATAAGCACTATGGATATGTCCAATTTATACAAATGCTTCAAAATTTCAAGGAGCAACAGTAGGGTGTCATTCATTGTTCCAGAATTCAGTATTAAAAATGTAAAACAATTACTGATGGAATATCAGTTTATGCAGGAGAGATGATGGGAATAATTTTGGCCTTAGGATGGATTGAGGAAGTTTGTCCTGTAAGAAATATATGTTCTGATTCAAGTTCATCATTATATTCAATATTAATCATTCTATTAGTAGACCAGAACTTTTATTAGACATTCAATTTTTAATCTATAGAATTCAGGCAATAGGTTTAATAGTTATTTTTACATGGATACGTCACATATAGGAGTGAAAGGAAATTAGTTGGGAGATAAATATGCAAAATAAGCTACAAAATGTAGTTATATTGATATACCATTTAGTAAAGAAAAAAAATTAAATCTATTAACCAAAAGGTTAAGGGAAGATGGCAAAAGCAGTAGGAATGGATAGAACTGGAAGGTGGCTTTACAGTGTTTAAAGAAAAGTTGGTACAATAAGGAGAACAAGAAGAAATAGAAAAGAGGAAACCATTATATCCAGATTACGTTTTGATCATACAATGTTAAATAGTACATTATTTAAAATGGGAAAACATCCAACAGCAAATTGGGATTTTTGTTTTCAAGAGGAAACATGTTTTGTTAGTCTGTTCTTAATATTCTGTTGAGAGAAGGGAATTAGTCGATTACAAGAAAATAAATTGCAATTAAATATACAAGATATTTTGGACAAACTTTCTATTTCTTAATGTTTCTTTTTTCATTTAATGAAATACCTTAAGAAAACAAAATTGATATAAAGAATATAAGATGTATTTACCTATTATTTTATTTATTTTTGTTTTGTGGTGGAATTTATATATAGCATCTCGATCCACACTCCATTCCAGTAGATGGCGGTAATGCGCATCAATAGGTTGCCTGCCAATCGCCATAAGAAAATAAGAAGAACCGGACGTGGCGTCACTGTCGGAAGTTGTCAGAAGCGGCGCTGCACGTGTTAACTGAACATGATCTGCAGGCCCGCGGAGACAAGGAGGCCAGGGAAGGACACTCTGTACAAACTCTGCTTTATTTGAGCATTAAAGAAACCCAGAGAGAAAAAGCTGCCCGCGCGGCTGGACCAAACCTGGACCGTTAGCTTAACGGAGGCAGCAGCGTCATTAAAGAGCAGAAAGTTCTGGGTCTGTGTTGTGTCCTCCCCGGCGTCCTCCTCCAGACCTCAGTTTTTCTTTTATTTTGTTGAAACGGTTTCATAGTTTGGTTGTGACTGTCCATTTGGAGCATGGCGGACTACCTGATCAGCGGGCAGACCAGTTATGTCCCGGAGGACGGGTTGACAGGACAGCAGCTGTTCAGCTGTGGAGACGGACTCACTTACAAGTAAACTCTCTTTAAAATAGGATCAAATATTTAGTTTGAAATAAATACAGTAGATGTTCTCGTATCCAATATTTTTTAAACAATCTATCATGTGTTACTACCACAGAATAACAAAGATGACCCTTAGATATTCAGCTAATAGTGAAAGTATATAGTGAATAGTAAAGTTTTAAAGTGTTCCTCTAGTCTTTGTTCCAACCATTGGGATCCTCTATTTATAAACATCAATAAGAAAGAATCCTCATAAAGCTTTATGATCATCCTAATAAAGTTTTAATGGTTTTTTTTATTTGGATATTTTTACAACAAGGGACAAGTTTAGAAATAAATTAAAGCAGAGTTTATTTCAGTTTTAACCAGTAAGAAACTAGGCCTGATTTGGTGGATCCTGAATACTCTTAACATTTAATTATTTAGTAACCTAGAACTTTGCCAGAAGCTGTGAATTCTTTCACCATACTTTCTCAAGTGTTTACACAGTGCACAACATGGAGATCTCACTCCTTATTGGTTGACTAAGCAATTAACTGAAAAAAAAATGTTGCTCCTATACATCTGACAAGTTGTTTTTACTAATGACACCATCTGATGTTTCAGCCATACAAAAAGCTGACACTCACTCCCAAGACCTGTTTATAGCCCAATTCCTTGTCTGACAAGCCTTTGTAGGTTTTCTGGCACTGTTCTGAGACATGAATGTGCTCATTTCTGTCATTATTTAACTTACTTAATGCAGTTAGTCTAGTTATGTCTATCAGACTGGCTTAGTCTAAGATCTAAATGTCTTTTGGAGGTAGGGTTGGGAATTGATAAGATTTTCACGATTCCAATTCTCATTGATTCTGTGAAACAATTCAATTCCTTATCGTTTCGTTGAAACAATTAACTTGATAAGTGCACGGTGACATTTGTCTACCTTCAGCTGGGACATTCGATTTCTGCCTGCCTCGGCCAAAACAGAAGGCAGTGAACAGGAGCTGCAGCCTGGTAACCCAGCCAAGCTACCTGTCTCCTCACAGTCATCTAAATCTAATGGAGAATGCATCGGTTTAATGAAAATGCATTACTCTACAATTTTGGGAAATAAACTAATATCCCCCTGATTTAAATAAACGAGCGTCACCTTTCTCTCGCTCCCTGAACTGCGGAGCAACTTAGTAGCATGTTTAATAACCCCAAAGAGAGGCAGGAAATTGATTCCCAGAAATGGCATCTGATTTACTAGGAACCACATTAAGCACAGCCAGTGATGTAAAACTAGCTACTTACCACCAGAGTTGCCATGTTCCATGCTGGTTAGGGTTAGGGGTTAGCATCAAAAACACAGCATTCGTTAAAATGTATGCCATGTTATATGCGCAGGTGTTTCTGCATGTTGGATGTTAATGATTGCAAGGCACCTTGTTGCCATCTTTCTCTTCCTTAAAATGAAGCCAAACTTTCAATCGCTTTAAATGCTTTTTGTTTTGCTTTTCTAGACTTACGCCTGGTCACGTCATACTTGCTTACTGAATGCCGTGTGCATAACTTGCGTAAAAAACATGAGTCGTACTGCCGGTGCTGCCTGGAATCATTAAGAGAATGATTAATCGAGCTGCCAAACAGTGCCATGGAATTGCAACACACGGAACCGGTTCTGAACAGGAACCAGTTTTTGATTCCCATCCCTACTTGGAGGCCATTGAAAGCAGAAATACCCATAATAGAATTGACAAGATCTTAAAAAGTGTTGAATGCTGTGTTTCCATTCTTTATTTTCTGTCCTGTTTTCTAAAATATCTTCTATCTCATAATCATTTATCCTCCTTCTTTTTTTTTTAGCAACAGGGTTCACAATAATCACACAAAAAAATTCAGAATTTGTGGATTTCGAAATGAAACGTACAGAAACCGATTAAAGTTAACTTTCACAAACGTGTTAAAGTAGCCGGTGTTGGGGGTACATGTTGAAGCTATTTTTTCAATTTATTAATTGGATTTTCATTTTGTTACACAAACACAACATTCTGAACACATATGGGTAATCTGAGAGGGAAAAATACCTGATTGCAAATATTAAGGGTGTATATGCAAGTTGGGAGGAAAAGAAATTTAATGCAACCAAAAAAAAAAAAAACTAGATAAACAAAATAATAAATATAAGTACAATAAAATAAGTTAAGTGCATTATTGTTATCAATGTTGTCATAAAAAAAGACAGGTAAACACGATTACAAATCATGTTAGGTCAAGATGAGATATCACACAGAAGGGTCCCAATGTTCTAGCAAAATGATCTTTACCTTTTAACTGTGGTGCTCCAGTTGCTTGTGTCATTCATTACTGTTTTAAGCAGATTAAGTTTTGGTGCTGTAGCTTGATTTCAGTTTAGCAGTATATATTTTTTGGCTACATAAGCAATTATACAAATCCATTTATTGAAGATCGGGTCTAGAGTATTATCTGAATCTGTACCAAAGATACAATAGAGGTGAGACTTTGAATTGAATTTGCAGAAGTTTGATTGTGAGACTATGCACTGACCTCCAGAAATGTTTAGTTTTTGCATTTCCAAAATACCTGGATAAGAGAGAAAGTACACATTTTACAGCAATGACATTTAGGAGACGCAGCAGTATACATTTAGCTCAGATGGACTGGTGTTGGGTACATTCTGTGCATCAATTTGTTATTTTGTTTGGTGATTTTGTTACAAGATAAACAAAAACATCATCATGTTGAAGCTCTTAGAGCTGTTAGATCACTTTTTCCAAGTTATTTTGTTGGATTAAGTTGACAAGCTATTTTTTTTTTCCTCAGTGACTTCCTGATTTTACCGGGCTACATTGACTTTACTGCTGACCAAGTGGTGAGTAAAGACAGAAAAAACATAACTTTTAAACTGTCTCTGGAATTGATATTTTATCAAGCTCTTCTCATCATACGGTAAATCCATTGGTGCAATATTTGACATTAGAATAATTTGGAGATTAGAGGAAAAAAAAGACGATTAAATTTTAATTGGACTAACTTGCCACACATTTTCAGACCCCTATAACAATCAAGAAAATGAGGATTGAGTCCAGCAAACATGTGGACCTGACCTTTATTAGACATTAAATTTGTAACAGAGAATTTCAACCTGTGCAATTTTGCTGTAGGAATTCATTTATTAAAGAAATCAGCGGCATAAATTCAGCGGCTAAATCTACAACAGAAACATTGGTTGCCCTATTGGTAAAAAGGAATGACCCTCTCCTGGTCAAATTAGGAAAAGATGGCTGACACAAGGCCTCAAAGAGAAGGAATTATTTTTTACATTTTTTATGAGAGTTAAGGCTAATATGCATATATTGTCTGTATCGTCTTAAATTTAAATGTAAATGAGATTGAAAAAATGTGAAATGTAACTTGATTTGAATATTTTTACAAAAATGTAACAGAAAACTGCATTTAGATATACTAATGAGGCTTTTTGTTCTATTTTCCATTGTTTACATGGATGTAGCAGTAGATGATTACTAAGGACGGAGCCCTGAAACATGACGGTAATCTGATTATCTGGAGTCGCTTCACTGCCTCAGAATCTGGCTGATAGGCTTTAGTTGACAGATATACCAACATTGGTTTTATGGGAAAATATTCCTGAAACCCCTACTTTTAATGCAATTGCTTTATGCCGGAGCACAATCTCACGGTCTCACGTCTGAATGGTAAAAAATAATGGTTTTGGTGTGGCCTAGTCAAAGTCTGCACCTAAATTTGGTTGACATGAGATGGCAGGGCCTTAGATGGGCAACTCGTGCAGATGGTTACCTTTTTAGAAGGAATTCTCTCTCAGTGATCTATTTCACTTATTTAATGGCAGCTGTTACCAGCAATGAAGACTCCATCACTATTGGATCATAAAGGACCGGGTTTGGATTGTATTTTTCCATTTAGTGAAAATAAGTACTTTAAAATCAAATTTTTTTAGATTTTATTTTTTCTAAGGCATGATAGTTGGACAAAAATGCGAAAACAGAAGGCACTAATGGGGGAATTTTTTTTTTATATAGTTGTAGGGACAGTACAAATATTTTTTTGTTAAAATCTTGAATGGAAATCAAAAAACAAATATGATCACATTCAAGGTTAAGGGAATTCGGAAACTGTTATTTTTTTATCCAAACTATAACACAATTTCATTTTTTGTTAACATCGATTTAAATTCTTTGTTTAAAAAAACATAAAAACATATATTTGAGTTTCCTACATGTGTGCTCCATCATAAAACGGAATCACATCCCCTTCTCTCCCTTTTGTGTCTGAGCCATGACTCTGTAACAGGACACTTAAACTGAAGCTGCTAAGTTTAGACCTGTTATCTGGCACAGATTCAAAGACTGAGGTGTTTTTAACGTCTGTGTGTCTTTTTCAGGATTTGACATCAGCGCTCACTAAACAGATCACCATGAAGACCCCCTTTGTCTCCTCCCCTATGGACACAGTAACAGAGGCCAACATGGCTATTGCCATGGCGGTGAGTTTCACAGAAACGCTTTCTGTCTGTTGACCTGATGTTCATAAGGCATGTGCCCATCCCAAAACCTTATTGGAAATTAGCCAGAGAACAAGTATCTGTTTATAGATAGCAAATCTTAGTATTTATCAGCACTTTGTGTGTGTTTCTTTGTCTCAGTTGACAGGAGGCATCGGCTTCATCCACCACAACTGTACTCCAGAGTTCCAGGCTAACGAAGTTCGCAAAGTCAAGGTGCTGATCACAGTATTCCCAAATTTCTCTTTCTCCTTTAGTTGTATTATTAACATGTTTTCTTTCAGTATAGCTTCTTTTGATGTGGCCTTTATATTTATATATTATCTTGATCTTTTTTCATCATCTCACTGTCTGTTTCTGCATGTTTGTTTTACTTCCTGAGGGCAGCGATGTCGTCTGTAGATCTTTTAGTGCTGTCTTCCTCTGTTGCTCGTCTCCCAGCTGTAGAATGTAGTCAGTGATTGATTTGTATTCCCTTTGTTGCCCCCAATTGTTCCACATCCCAATTCCTGTTTTCCCACAACCCCTCCAGCGATACGAGCAGGGCTTCATCACAGACCCTGTGGTTATGAGTCCAAACGAGCGGGTGAGGGACGTCTTCCAGGCCAAGGCGCGCCATGGCTTCTGTGGGATCCCCATCACGGACAACGGCAAAATGGGCGGCAAGCTGGTGGGGATCATCTCTTCCAGAGACATTGATTTTCTAAAGGAGGAGGATCACAACTTGCCGCTAAGTGAGGTGAGTCATAAATGTATAGATGAAACATGCATAAACCGAAAATGGGAGGAAACTGTGTTTTAAGTTGAAAGCAGATCAACTGTTCAATTTGCGTGTTTTCTAAGATCAGTGCTCACAATCTCAAAACAATTAATCTGGCTCTAGACAAACCTGTTTTCTTATTTTTTTATTTTTCCCCCCTTATTTGGAAATGGTTACTTGACAACAACAACAAAAAAAAAAGTATTAAAAATAAGTTCACTCATCAACAGGACAGCATCTGGAAACATACATCCACAATCTGCAGTGGAATGGGTTGGATTGAATCACACTGGTTAGATTGGCCTAGTCAAAGTGCAGACCTGAATCCACCAGAGAATCAGTGGCGGGACTCAAAAACTGAAGCTAGCAGACATTTGCTATTCTGGGTATTGCTAATAGAAGGGGGAATATTTCTGTAGCTAGATGTGTAGAAACTGAGAGCTTAAACAAAAAGACAGGCATTGTTTGGATTTCTATTGTGTAAAAAAAAAAAAAATATATATATATATATATATATATATATATAAAAAAATAATATACATATATTAATATATATATATATATATATATATATATATATATATATATATATAAATAAAATGGAATGGGACCATGAGGTGAGGCGTTGCAATTAACACTACCGTATTTTCACGACTATAAGGCGCACTTAAACGTCTTTTTTTTCCCCTAAAAATGTGCGGTGCGCCCTATGGTGCGGTGCGCCTTATGTGTGTTGTAACTGCGACTTTTGAGACCACCTCATTGAGGAGATGATGAAAGAGTGGCTGAATGTAAGGAGACCAGGTGTTTTTTTTCCACTCATCACCATTAATGTGTAACTCCATGCGTGCCCATCTCACAGCTGATGTGAAAAACATGGGGAAACAAATTAACGCTGTGCTCGCTGTTCAACCGCTCGACATCGGTGTGAACCGGACCCAGCAGGTGCAGCAGAAGCAGCGAGTTTACATGCAAAGTCAATGGTTGACGCGCGTATAGGTGCAGCAAAAGGTCCTGCAGCGCGTTTTGAGCCGCAGGTGCAGCACGTCGGGGAGCGTTTAAGCATCTGACGCACCGCCAACGCGCTGCTGCTGCTCGAGATGGAAAAATTGAAGTTTTGCTGCTGGACGCGCCGCATCAACCAATCAGAGAAGCTGATCTGGGAGCTGACAGCGAGACAGACACAGCGCTCTGATGACATATGATATTAAATGAAAAAGGCTGGATGGATGAGGAGATGATGAAAGCGTGGCTGAGGGAGGTGTAGCCTATGTGAGGAGACCAGGTGTTTTTTTCCACGCATCACCATCGCTGCGTGCCCATCTCACAGCCGATGTGAAAAAAAAAGGTGAATCAATGAACGCTGTGCTCGCCGTTATCCCGGGGGGTCTGACAAAGGAACTTCAACCGCCCAACATCGGTGTGAAGCGCCCGTTCAAAGTAAGGCTGCGAGCGGCGTGGGAACGATGGATGACCGACAGAGACCACAGTTTCAGGATAAGTGGAAGGCAGCGCCTGGGCAAGTTACGCCACCGTTTGCGGATGGATTGTAGATGCTTGGGCTAACGTGTCTGCTGGCTCTGTTCTTCAAGCTTTTGCAAAAGCCAGCATTATTTCTGAGGAGCCGCGCTGCACGGAAAGTGACTGACAGCGAAGAAGGGGAAATTGGCATGTCTGATTTAGCGCAGCTGTTTTATTCAGAAACAGAGGATGATGACTTCGATGGGTTTGATTAATACTTTGTAATAAATAGCCTACATGAATAAAGCACAATCATACTCAGTTTTGCTCCCGCTCTATTTTTCTACCTGAAAACTTAATTCAACAGCAGCTTCTGGGCGCGTCTCCTCCTCTTCACCGCGGCGGCTGGCAGGTGTTTTTTCATCTAAATAATCTAAATCTTGCAGCTATATTTGCTGTGATCAGTGAGAATAAAGTAGTTTTAATATGTTTTTAAGTGAGAAAGTCCACCTGAAAACTTCATAATTGCAGTCAGTTCATCCAGATTATCTATTTCTGTCGGAGGCGCTCAGACCCCCACATACCAGCGGTGCGCCGACAGCAGAAATCCTTTCGTTCACCGCGGCGGCTGGCAGGTGTTTTTCATCTAAATAATTTAAACTGCAGGCACCAGGATACCGGTAATAAAAGCGAACATATTCTGTCGGCAGGTTTCAGGATTTTAAGTTAATTTAGGAGTGATCACAGCGCTGTGTCATCTGCGATGTGTCTGTCTCACGGCCAGCTGCCAGGTTTGATTAATACTTTGTAATAAATACCTGAATAAAGCACAGTCATACTCAGTTTTGCCCCCGCTGTATTTTTAAATATGCAGTAGAGGTATTTAAAGGTAGTAGAGGACATGTACCTGTATATAAAAAACGCGCCCTATAGTCCGGTGCGCCTTATGTGTGTGTTAAATACAGAAATGGGACACATAACTGAGAGTGCGCCTTTTAGTACGGTGCGCCTTATGGTCGTGAAAATACCGTAATCCACATTCAAATAATGAAAACATCTGTAGTCATGACATCCACTTTCTTAAACCAGCATCTGTTGTTTCAGATTGACACATCCCTTCATTTATAGATCTGACACAAAAACATTACTATCTTCTCTCTAGGTTTTTGGTTAATGACTCCCATTTGATCTGAATAGCTGATGCATGAGTGATGACTGATCCTCAAAATTACCCAGGATGAATAGGGTTTGTGCGGGTCATTTTGAGGATTAAAATTATTATTTCATTAAATTATTATTTTTTAAATTAAGGCCTTAATTGGCATTAAAATTCATTAAATGTGATCATCATGGCATTAAAAATGCTTCAGAAAAAAAAAATAGTCAAATATATCAGAATGTTTGGGATGAACTCCTGGTTGATCCTAAAGCCATATGTTTGGAACAGAAGCTCGAGGCACAGAAAAAGATAATGAAGGATTTGGCCGTGTTTATTTATTTATCTTCATATATATATATATATATATATATATATATATATATATATATATATATATAGCATTATATTAGAGTTATTAAGAGCTGTATAAACCCTGATGAACATTTTAAGCCATATAGCTCTAAAAACATCTTCTGAAACAGAAGAAATATCTATTGTTCAAGACTAAATGAATATCGACCTGCATGACCCTGAATAAACAGGATGGATAACCTGTCGTTCCCTCTGTGACAGGTGATGACCAAGCGAGAGGATCTAGTGGTTGCTCCTGCTGGAGTGACTCTGAAAGAAGCAAATGAAATCCTGCAGAGGAGCAAGAAAGGTGATTAAGAAAACAATTTTCTGCACAAGTTGCTTCATTTGACTTTAGGCAAATTAGAAATATTCAAGCTCATTGTGCATGTTTGTTTTTTTTGTCCTCTCTGATTCCCCCTCTAGGTAAACTTCCCATAGTCAATGAGGAGGGCTCCCTGGTGGCCATCATCGCACGTACAGACTTGAAGAAAAATCGGGACTTCCCTTTGGCCTCCAAAGACTCTAGGAAACAGCTGCTGTGTGGCGCCGCCATCGGTACTCACAACGACGACAAGTACAGACTGGACCTGCTGGTTCAGAGTGGGGTGGATGTGGTCGTACTGGTGAGCGCTATGACTTACTGTTTACAGAAATAACATACTGGTTTCCTGATGGACTTTTTCTTTTTGTCATTTTGTGTTGTACCTTCATTCATAGCTCATTACTCTACCTGTCCTCCCTTCATCTTACCCTATCTGCTTTATATTGCCTGTTAATTCTTTACTTTTTCCTTATATCTTGTCATTCCCCCATTCTCCTATTATGTCCCAGAAACTTTTCCTTCCTACCTTTTGTGTCCTAAAATGAATTCATCCTGCCATCTTTACATACCGATATCTCCAATAAACTTACAGTGATGATGTGCATTTCCCTCAACAGGACTCGTCTCAGGGCAACTCCATCTTCCAGATCAACATGATCAAATACATTAAAGAGAGATATCCCAGCTTACAAGTTATTGGAGGCAACGGTAACTACACACAATTTAAATGAACAAGTGTGGCTTAAACTGAAAAAACAAATTTCATTCATCTCTACCATTTAATGTTCTGAAATGCTGTTAGATTTGACAAGAAAACCATCAAAAACTTATTAGTGAAAAACCTTGAAGTTCTCGAAATTGTTCAAATAAGTTTTGAGTTCTAACAGTCCTTTGTCGCCCCCTGTCTGTGGCAGTGGTGACTGCAGCTCAGGCCAAGAACCTGATAGATGCAGGCGTGGATGCGCTGAGGGTTGGGATGGGCAGCGGCTCCATCTGCATCACACAGGAAGGTGAGGAAATGACAACCAAACTCAGGAAACACAAACCTGCTCTCCTGTTTTTTTCATGGTTCCGTTTGCTGGAAAGGAGGATAATTAAACGAATTGATCCTACATCCAAGCTGAATGCATTTTTTGTTTAACCTTTTTAATTTTTCTGGAGCAGTTGTCCTAGTTGTTTCTGTTCATAGAGGGGCTGAACCGAAGAAAAGCTGCAGCCATTTGGAGATCAGTTTGATTTGAAAATTCTCTTGCAGTGCCAAACCTTGAGTGACTTTAGAAAAGATCACCAACAGGATTTTGTTCTGTAGAAAATAATCTGCTCTTTGTTTACTTCTGAAATAATGCTGAATTGCAGGGAAACCGTGTCTTTAAACTGGTAGCTGGTGTTATTTTTTCCAAAGTTTTTAATGGCGACGTTCTTTTGTAGTTAATTTCTAATTCATTTAAAAATAGATGAAAAGATTAAGATATTTTTTTGTTTGTGCTTGTTTCTTTACCGTTAGCTGAGATTTCTTTGAACACGACCTGTTTTTTGTTTTTCATCATACTTTTTGGGAGATTTGACTGTGATCTTCTCGTCTTCCTACCTCCTCCTCCTCCTCCGTCCTTCTGTATCTCTCTGCTCCTTCCATCCCTGCTATCATCCATGTGCTATTGTGGGTATTTGTGTCCATGTCCAGCTCCCCTCAGTGTACCACCAGCTATAAAGCTCCACAGCCCCAAAACCCCAACCTCTATTACGGGATACTCCAGTAAGTTTCCCCTGCTGACTTGTGCTGGGCCTTGTTGGTTCCACTATTAAGTGCCCCTCGCACCTCACAGCCTTGCTGCACCGATTGGGTAACATCTAGAGATGCACTGAGCAATTGGCTGAAGAGGGACATTGGAAGATCTATTTCCCCCTTACCTGCTTTAGATGAACGGAAAACTGTTTTTTCTTTTTCTTTCTAATAACTTAAAAAAAAAAAAAAACAGACTTCAACTATGGAAAGATTTTATATGATCTATTTTTGCTATTAGGGAATATGTTTAAAACGTGAGACGCTTTAAGAAAAAAAACTAATGACAAAGTAAAAAACTATTATTTTAATGTCAGTTGTGATAGGAATACATTTTTAAAAGGGAATCCAGTTATTTCTAACTATGAACACAACTTCCAGTTATCAATTTTGGTCTGTGTCAATCTTTTATGTGATGCATACAAAATCAACTATAGATAATAAATAGAAATACAATCTCAGATAAGGACGGACTGCTGCAGCAAAACACTGCTGTACGTGTCGTCTGCTGGTGTAAAGTCGGGCATACACTGTGCGATATTTTCAATCGTTGTACGCAGCTACATCTCAAACTGTAAGATGAAACCGCAGGGTTTAAAAGGTCACAGCTCACGATGTATGTTCACACGTGTGGTTTCGACGCTCTGTTTGATTTTTTTTTTTTTCTCGACCTCACGATTCCTGATCAGGAGGGGTCGTAAGAGGCTGATCGCCCCTCATTACCCCCTGTACACCACACGACGCACCATCAGGCTGAAAGTTGGCCCGATCAAAAAATTCTCGCACGACTGGAGAATCGGGCTGAAAAAAGCAAAAATAATCGTCCAGTGTATGCCCGGCTTAACGCACTACAGTGAAAAATGCAAACCTATATTAATGCATAGTGATAAATGAAGCACATTCTCTCTGATAGTTTGAATTAGTTTTTAAACCTATATTTTCATTTTTTTCTTTTTTGTGCATGGTCCAGTTTTTATTTTAAATTCAGTTAATGGCAGTATTTTTTAATTCTAGTTTTTATCATTTCATTAGTTGACGATAAAGGGAGTTAGAGATGTAAATGTCATTTTACTGTTTCCTAATATTGGTGAACTTTTTAAATCGTGTAATATACTTTCACGCAGCGTTTGAAGCAGAACATAAGTGATTGATCCTGAGCGCCTCAAGGCTCCTCTATGGTTATTGTATAATATATAACAGTTTAACATGACATGGAAACCTCCATCTGAGAGATTAGATTCCTCGATGTCCAGAATAAAGGCAGCTGTTTAAAGAAGATGTTTTAGGAGCGATAGATTTATTACAATATAATACTTTTACCCAGAAAAACAAACCAACATTTTCCAGTAAGTAAAGAGAAATCAGTTCTGTGGGAAATTGGCCCCAGATTCCCCGATTGGTGCATCTCTGGTGACTGCTTTGCATCTGTAGGTGTAGGCTTGGTTGCAGGTGTTGATGGCTGGGGTTTTGGGGGTTGCTTGCTCCTTGTCTCCTCATTAATCTATTAACCACCCAGAGTGTTTTCATCTGACCTCTGGTTTGGTGTTTTCGTGGATGTAGTAGAAGCTAAAAGGTGAGCGGATGCAGCGGCCTTTAAACTCGGCTATAATGGAATCCCTGGTTCTTGTAACTGATCGTCCTCACATTGGGTTTTCTGTAGGGAAACTTGTCACTTAGTCATTGCTTCTTGTTTTATGTCTGAGTCTCTAAATCTGTTATTTTATTCCTGATGTTTTTCTAAACAGAACTATTTAAGCAGCAATTCTTGATGATCAATAATGTGAATGCTTATACCATATATAATATTTATTAATTATTTTTTAGGCTTTTTGCTTACTTCTGTTAAACAAACTAGAGTTTGATTAGAAACTCCGAGTAATGTTGTACCTGCTAATATCCCTAAAATCATGTTCCTCTTTCTGATATTGATAAACCGGCTGAAGTTTCCAGTATTTCTCGATTCTATGGGCTTTCTGCATCAAGCCAAACGCTGGCAGATTTGATTTGGGAAATGGTTCAATATTTCTGTGCTGATGTTGCAAGTTTAACTTCCTCATTCTGACATCTAACACGAAGGAAGACACCAGCTCGTGTTTGTCCTGCACTGAATGCATTCCTTTACTTTTTAATCACTTCCTGTAGTTTTTAATTCTGGACATATTTTGAATTCTCTCCAAACAAATCAGGTTATCTTGGATGAGTTCCTGGTTTTACTTTGGTACAGCTGGAAAAGCTGCTAGACATGAACAGATAATGTGAAAGTTGCAGCTTTAAAACCAGTCATTGACTCCTGCTGCGCCCTTCTCTGTATTCTCAGTACTGGCATGCGGCAGACCTCAGGCCACGGCTGTTTATAAAGTCTCTGAGTACGCCAGGCGTTTCGGCGTACCCGTCATAGCCGATGGTGGGATCCAGACCGTTGGGCACATCGCCAAAGCTCTGGCTCTGGGAGCTTCAACAGGTGAGGCATCTAGTCAATCCGGCTCTACTTTGCATGGGAATTTACATGAAGCAGTAGATCTAGAAGATGTAGTTCAGTTTAGATCAGTCGAAATTCCAAATTATGCAACCAGGATGGTTGAAACATTGAATGTTTTAAATAAACTGGCATCAGAAACTGTTTGAAAATAAATATTAATACGTTTAGTTTTCCTTTTGGTCTGCAGTAATGATGGGGTCATTGCTGGCTGCCACCAGCGAAGCTCCTGGTGAATATTTCTTTTCTGATGGGATCCGGCTAAAGAAATACCGCGGCATGGGCTCCCTGGACGCCATGGACAAAAACCTGGGCTCTCAAACCCGATATTTCAGGTATACCAGCCAGATATCCAAAACCGTTCCACTTTCAGTGTATCCTGCTTTAAAAACTTTTTTCCCCCTCCCTTCCTCATTTCATTTTCAGTGGTCTGTCAGACGTCAGTCTTGTGGCAAAGACTGATGAGCCTGCTTTACAAGAGTGGCACACATTTTATAAAGTGCCCTTTTTAATAGAATTTGGTCCAAACCAGCAACTTATTATTACAGGGATGAAGTTGGTGCAACTTTATTCACAGGAACCTTGTGTAAAAACTGGAGTTTGCTGCAAAAAGTAGTTCTGCTAGGATTTACAATTCACCTCAATACAGTTATGGTTAAATAAAGAACATCCTCTTTCAATTACAGGTCTATACACTTAGTTTTAAGATCTTAACTTTACTAAACTGTGTGAAAAATAACTCAGAGTCACATGAAGTAACGTTTTTAAAGAAGCAGCTGGTGCTGCCCGTTAGTCTAGGAAGGATGATGAGGACGTCTCATTTTAGAGATCATTTCTTTTTATTCATATCATGCAAGTTAAAAAAAATATCATTCTACAAACAATCTAGAATTAAATGATCCCTGCACGTCTGAGCACTCAGCAGACGAGGCAAACGAAGCAGGTTTTGAATAAACATCACTGGTATATCAATAGTAGGACAGTTCTGACCCAGCAGAACTCGCCTAACTTGATTTTTCCATCTTTCTTTACAGTGAAAGTGACAAGATTAAAGTTGCTCAAGGCGTCTCTGGAGCCGTGCAGGATAAAGGCTCCATCCACAAGTTCGTCCCCTACCTGCTGGCTGGTATTCAGCACTCCTGTCAAGACATCGGGGCCAAAAGCCTCACCCAGCTCAGGTACAGATACCCCAACCTTAAAATACAGCGTTACGAAAGGTGACGAGCTGAGACAAAGATGGAGGCTCGGTGTTCATGGAGTTTCTGTTGAACCGCCAACATCTTGTAAACCAGCTTCTTTTTGTCCTTTCAGAGCGCTGATGTACTGTGGAGATCTGAAATTTGAAAAGAGAACCACATCAGCTCAGATGGAGGGTGGAGTCCACAGTCTACACAGGTACATAAACTCAGAACCCAGACTGGTGTTTTCCACTCTGCTTTCAACATGGATTTACTTGGTTTCATATTCCATTGTCTTGATTATCTGTTAGTTTCATGTCTTTACCACAATCACACAAGCCGCCAGTTAGACTTCCTCTTAGTGCCTCTGTTGTGGAGCTCCAGCAGGTCGTGTGATCTCTCTTTCCGTCTTTTTGTCTTTCCCACAGTTACGAAAAACGACTCTTTTGAGAAAAGGGGAGCATTTGGTGGCGGATCAGAGCAGCAGATGACACTACACAACCCGCAAGAACTGCTTAGGATCCTATTGTCCATGGAGCGGACTTCGGATTCAGATCAGACTAAAAAAAAATCTGTTATCTTCCAGAGATCCACCCGTCTTCCTTCCAGTGTTATCTATGCATAGAGTTTGGTGGAGGTGTGTATGTGTGAAACTGAGGAGGTTGAGAAATGAGCATTTATCAATCAGTGCATGTATGATTGAGTTGAATAAGGGAAGTTCGCTCTTGTAATAAAATGTCTCCATGTTTGTCCATTTTAAAGCAAAAAAAGAAACTAATTAAAGGCCTGTGTTTTTACACAATTGTTTGGAGTGTTTTAAAAATACTTTGTGCCTAAACAGGTTTTTCCATCATTTACAGTAAATAATATACTGGTCAGTCTATAGTGTCAAAGCAAAATGCTTCTAAGAACATGATAAACCTGTGCCGTTTCTAAGGGTGAAAGGGCAGTTTATCAGCAGGTTAGGGCTGCGAGGATCACTTTACCTCGGATCCCCTGAAGGACTTGCTGTAGCTTGCAGTGGGAGGCAGAAAGTGAAGCTGGGGGGGGGCAGGTAGGGAACTGATAGGCTGGGGGGAAGAGACACTAAAACTCCTTAGATAAAAGGTAAAAACCAGACAAGGAATAGCAAGTTAAATTTATGAGTAACTTTTTTTAGTTTTGCTGCACCATGCTTTTACTTCATGATGTATTGCTACACTAAACACTGGAAATACATTTAAATGCATGAAAAACAAGCTTTTGTTTTAAACAAAACATATTCCAGAGCGAAATAGTTGCTCAAATTATCTTTAAGCTTACCATCTACCTGCTGGGTCTCCTTGGACTGTTGGAGGTGAAGTTAATATACAGTAAACAGGATATTGTCACTGGAGGTACTTTATTTTCATAAAAATCTATGAAAAGTCTTCAGCTTGACTATAAGTCTTTCAAAGTAGCAAACTTTGCACAGAAATGTATATTTTAGTCTTATTACATTATAAATCAGATGTTATGCGTTACTCATCCTCGTAGCCTTTTTAACCTACTTTGGAGGAAATTATACTTTTTGGGTACTTAACACACAACTGTTGAAAATGGTGGGAGGTTAAAGATATTCCACGTAGGGAAGAAACGTATTAAATATTGATGCTGTTATGCATTTAAAATAAGAAATTGCATTAATTTACACATGATACTTAAATCTATCTAAAAAGTGTTGGATTCAGGTTTTCCTTAAAAAAAAAAAAATTAGAGGAAACCTGGAGGGATTTTGATTCCACACAATCTACAGGGAGTGAACCAACGGTAGATGCACATTGCTGCAAAAATATTGGCATTTATTAGTATTTAGTTACCTTTATACTATGTGTATATATTTTGTTTTTTACCATGTCCAGATAAAACAGGACTATGCCATGCTGGTTTGTGTTTACTCACAGAAAGGTAACACTAACTATCCTGGATATGCAATCCTCACCATGTGGAATGGTGGTGGCAGCATTACGCTGTGGGGGTGCCTTTCTCCAGCAGAGACAGTGAAGCTGGTCAGAAGTAGGATATCTGGACCTAAATACAGGATATTTCTAGAAGAAAACCTGCTAGGTGCTACAGATTGGGGTAAAGGAACCCTGATTATTCAACCAGAGCTGTGTTTTATTGCGCTGGCCCATTTTAAGACCAGAACTAAAAAAAAATCAGAACAAGTGGAAAGCTCTAATGCACTAAAATGTGGTGTCAAAAACTATGGCTTGGTGTTGGCTGATTTAAAACTAACCAGAACAGATTTTTTTTTATTAATAATGAGAAACTTTTCTTCCCTTCCCTTTATGCTCACTTCCTGATTATTTGCCAGTTTGTGTTGGTCTTTCATAAAAAAAAACTAAAGTGAATGACATCTAGATGGATCCATTTTTTTTTTTATAGTTGTGCTTTGAAATATAAAAGTCTTATTTGTTTAAAAACATGTTTCTTTGGAGCTAAACTAAGCTTTCAGTCCAAAGTACAGCATTAATGAATGAAACAAAGAGCGAGCAAACAGCCCATCTCCTCCCATCTCACCTTCATCTTCCTCCTTGAGGTCTCCAGAGAGAATCAGGTCCTCCTCGGAATCCTCCGGACTTTCCAGGCTGAAACCCAGACGGACCTGATGGGAGTTGTCCCGTCATGCTCTGTTGGTCACACCTGTCTCTCATCATCCATCACTAGGCGCTCAAATCGTTTCTAATTAACAGGGAGGAAGAATAGCCGACCTCTCAGGATTATCTGGGCAGACGGGAGCGTTTCCCCAGAGAAATAAAACCGTTTACCACAGCCGGACGCCAGATGTAACGATAGTCACCTGTCTTTACCGTCACCACCACTTTTAAATGGATTTATTATTGCTATCTATAAGAAAATCTAAAAAACTGTAGATTATAAAAGGTGTTCACTAATTTTTCTATCCAAATAACTTTTCTTTGCAGTTAAATTAAATACACCAAAACCATCTTTTTTGCAGAATTTACAAATCTTAGTTTCTAATATGAGTCAATCTGAGGAGAACAGACGCTTTATTGGACATCAGCTTATCTATTCGTCCTTTTACAACCAAAACCAGATAACTGTGCCTCAAAGATTAAAAAAAAGGAACTGAACATATTTTTAAAGGAAAGTTTGATACCGTTAAGGTTAAAAAAAAGCTAAACTAAAAAAAGAAAAGTGTAATAACAGCAAGAAGCAGACAGTCACAGTTGAGCTGATTTTTACAATCGAAATTTAACTACATAACAAATCTGATTACTGAGCAAGCCGTTTGGATTAATTCTGGAGATTCTAATCCCTAAAGCCTCAGTCTAGAATCTGGGATGGATGAAGAGCATCAGAACCTACCTGGGTTTTGACTGGACTATTAATTCCAACTTATACCCTAACCCAGCCTCTCTGTCCTTAAAGGAAATCATTCCCACAGCATGATACCGTCCCCACTATGTTTCACCACAGACTGTGTGGGGCCTGATGTGCACTGTGGGCTTCTAATGGAAGGCCAGACCTCTGTAGGTTTTCAGTTGTGCCATCTTTACAGTTTAAGGTGGTGTTATATGTTAAAAGTTAATAATGATGCATTCCTCGGGCTTCATAATGCCATTTTTTCTGCAATGAACCCCATGAAACATCCATGGCCTTCAAAGAAAGAGGCTGGATTGGTAGCTATGATAAATCAATCAAAAATTTAGAAGACAGTTGTTTGCACTGGATTATATTTAGAGGTATCCAAGTGTAGAAGTACTTAGGTGCATAGCTCGTTTAGAGACCTTTTTCATGATATGCTAATTTTGTGAGATAGGAATTCTGGGTTTTCATGAACTGTATGTCAAAATCATCCTTAATAAGATTATAAAAGACCTGAAATATTTCAGTTAGTGTGCAATGAATCTAAAATATACGAATGTTCCAGTTTTATTATTATATTATGGAAAATAATGAACTTTATCACAATATGCTAATATTTTGAGAAGGACCTATACATGCCGCACTCTTCTTCGTCTCCGTCTTCATTCCCTTTTATAATCCAGTAACTTTTTTAAGTCATCTACAGTATAAAATCCAAGTGCAGTTCAGTGAAGTCTGTGATTTGACATGACAAGAAGAAAAAGTTTAAGCAGGTTGAACATCATGTCAGGTACAGCATCGGAACGGGACCAGTTCAAATTCAAAACACATAATTATATGAAAACATGAATGACTGTTTGCTCATTTCTAACACTATTATCTAGAAATAAAAGGCAACAGTACATCCTTCATGCAAAAAAAAAAAAAATACATAAATCACATTATATTAAGCTTCTTTATAAAAAAACAAAAATAAAAATAGATATTATGTTAAAAAAAACAAAACAGAACAAAAACTGCCCTCAGGCAAAAAAAAAAAAAACAGGAGGCAGGGAGGTAGTGGACAAAGGAAGGAAAGGAGGAGTTTAATCGGCTCTGGAGAAGTGAAAGTGAAATGAATCTCTAGAGTATTTAAAGAGGAAGTTTGGACTAACAGAGCTGTTGGCAGGCAGGACAGCAGAGGACGACCTGCTGTTCTCAGACGATGGTGAGTTGATCAACATTTTCTATTCTTCACACATCCACTGCTTATTTGGACATAAAGTCTGTCTATAAGGCTGCTGCCTTTGTGTTTTCACTTTGATTTCATTCACTTGGTTGTCTAATGAAGTCTGTTCTCTTTCTCATTCTATTGGTCAATCTTCTCAAATCTTACTTCACTTTTCTAACATTAGCTCAGTCTTCTTGCTTTAAGCGCAGGTTAGGATAATCGTTTGACAGCCACTAAGTGAAAATGTTTTAGGTTTGCTGCACAGTTGTCAAACTGAAAGTATCTTAGTGTTGTTCTGTTGTGTATATTTAGGTCTTTTTCTGTTAGTTTTTCACTTCCTTTAAGCTATTAAAGCTTTTAGAAACTTAAACCTATTTAAGTCAGACTGAAACAGATTTTTTGGGTTTAAATCTCCACCTTAAAGGGTTTTTGTTCAGCTAATCTCGTTTATCAACAAATCAGCTCTTCCTTGTCAGACTGACCTCTTGTCCAACCTCTTCCCCTGTTTTCTTTTTTTTTCATTTGTCTTAGAAAAGATAATGCACAACAGGTTTTTCAAGATAGAGCTCATAATAACAGCAGAGTAATACCATAAGAGATAAGCCGGCACTCCATTGTGTCGCATGAAATTAAACAGAAAACAAGAACTTCCCTGCTGGATTTCCAGACAGATTTTAAGTATGCAGTTTTTTTTTTTTTCTTTCACCTGAGAGATAAAAATGGTTTTTCATTCTTTGACTCCTGTCAGGCTGCGACAGATGTATCAGAGGAGCCGCTCCTTTGCGTGCAGAACGCACACTTCCAGGAGGAGTCACTGCTTTGGTATTTTCTTTAGATCGATCTAATCTTTTGGCTAAAATGCAGGTCGTGTCTTGGAAATAAAAATGGGAACTTGTCCAAACCACAAGAATCTGAAAGATATATGAAACTTTTTTTGCAAAAAAGACAAAGATATTTGCCTTTTTTTATCAGAAAGAAAATGAGACCATATTGCAGCAGGTTTACAAGAAGGAATTTAAATCTTCAGTCCAAAGGAATCCACTCTGGTTAAATTTTAACATGTTATTGAAATCTTTCATTTTAAGTTGAATTATTGTGATTTGAGTGATTCTGTGAAATAAAAGACAGCTCTGTAATCTAATATACACAGAAAATGAAGTTTCAGCAAAAAAAACCCAACAACTTCAAGGTGCCAATAAAAAGTTCTCAAAAACCAAATTTTACAGCAGGTAAAAAAACTT